ACGTTCGGAAAGATACGAAAGATTCGCTCGATGTTCAACCTGTTAACCTGTCCTCATATTTAATACCGATAACTGAAATTAGGTTGTGTAATTTGAGCATGTGTCGAAATGCTTTATCTGGTTCGGAATTTATTCTTAATAACGCACGGTCATAAACTACCGAAATTTATTATCTGTCACTTAACCCAAAAGGAATATTTACTTAACCCATTAAGTACGTCACAGTTAGAGGGCATTCAAATAAATATATTTTCATCAGGTTTCGAACGACACACTCTTACTGTCTCAGAGTTTATACCCTGCATCTTCGAAACATTTTTCCATATAATGAACGGGTTCTTTCATCGTAAACAATTCTAAAACACGTAAGTTTGATAAGGTGACCACCATGGCGATCAACGTGCCAAGATTCACGGATTTAGAAATTATTCTATCGATGGTTCGTCTCTTTTCGATCCGCAAAAGATAGTCGGTTCTTTTGCCCGGCAGACAGGAAAAGAAGAGCGGCTCCTAGCTCCGACAAAGACGATTACGCAACGCGAAAGAAGGTCGCGAGTGAGATCGGACGTTGACGACGAACTTTTCCGCGTGTATTCGACGCGCAACGCGTTCGGGCTATGCCGTCGAATTTTAATTTGAAACATTTTGATTCATCGACAGCAACACCACGACTCCCTTGGCGCGATATTTCCGGCCTTCTCGATCACACGCCCAACAGGTTCTCGCGGTTGCAATTTTCGACGTGTCTACCCCTCCCCTGCGTCATCCCCAGCCAGCACTTTTGTCTCCTCGTCTCACGAAACCGATCCAACGTATTGCACTTACTCGTCGCATGATTTATCTCCTTTCCCCTTTCGTTTCGTCTGTACCTGATTTTCCGGTTTCCTTATTTTCGTGTTGCATATACAGGGTGGGAAGGTACAATCGGGAAGGGGATGATTCTGCTAAAATAGGTTCTGCAAGTCGTACTCGAAAACTTTGTTCTTGAATGGTGTCGTGAAAACAAGATGGAATATGGTTAAAAAATATCGTGTTACAGGATATTTAAATTGTGCAAGTTTAAAGAACTTTACTGTAAGAGGTCAGAAAAGTATTCCAACAACGACAGGGACTTATACTGGAGTTTCTGTTATAACTTCGCAACCCTTGTTCGAAAAACGTAAACAGTGGTATTTCGTAACAATTCTTAAAATTTGTTTTAAATACCCAAAACCGGTACTATTTCCTTTAGTTATCTCTCGGGGGGTTCGTGGAACATAAACAAACGATCGACAATTTCTATAACCTGGGTACCGAAATAGCATCAGTGTCTATTTCGATACGAGTATGCTGGCATAATATCGGTATGAAGTCCCACGGTGTGTAACAAAACGAGCATTCTGTCTTCCTGTGCGCGTATCGGTCGAGCAAGAAGGAAGGAATGGCACGAGTTACGCTCGCGCGTAGGGCCGCGTACGCGAAACGATCGCGCGCATACATACGCATACGTATAATCGTCCGATTCGCGGACGATGGATCCTCGCAACGAGGAAGGGAAGGGATAGAGTCGCGGCCCCCCAGCATCGTTCCCTATATAAGCAGAGAACCACCCGTCGGTCCACGAGTGTCAATAACGCGTCAATATTACACGGGAACGTCGTCGACGGGCGAAAATAATCAACAACAACAACAACCGACGTGGACAGGGAACGCGTTACGGCGATCGCGATCGAACGCGAGCGGGAAACGTCGTTCCGCCTAAGCACGCGCGATCCACTTCGATCCAATAAAATTAAATCGATATCGATCGACGCGAGGCGCGGGACCGTTCACAAGCTCGTTTCGTCTCGGGCGTAAGCGGGACGGGCCGACGCCTAAACGTAACGCGATAAAAAGAACCGAAATCGCGTACAATTGGTGACTACTCTCGACGTTTCTGCGAACGTTCCCGGCCCTGTTTCATTTCCTGCGATTGATTTGGCAGCCACTCACCCTCGACCATGAAGATTCTTATGCGAGCTGATACCCATGTGAACATCGAATTACCGGGCAACGCGCCAGTCGCTAAGTGCACCTTCACTCAGGTATCGACATTGTGTAATTTACGAGGACTTCTCGATCGGAACTGCCGGGCAACTTCGCGCTAGTGTTGCATATAAAGAGGCTCTCGTAGGCGCGAACGATTTATTGTCCGACGAATCGTACGTCCAATCGAAACGATTGCGGGGCCTCGCCCTACTGCCATCATTCCACGCTGGACAACCCTAAACACTTCATGATCTCTCCTTTCGTTTCTTTTTCCAGTTGTGATCCCGTATTCGAAATATGGCGGTACTTCGTATCAGAGATGGACAAAATTTTATTCGAGACGATTATTGAACAAATAATGCATCGAAACCTGTTTACCTTCGACAAAGATAGAAACCAACGTGTAGCAATGAAATTTTTAATTCTACTCGAAATCGTTGTTTTGAAAATTGTATCGAGGAAGAAATTTTGTCCATTCGTCGTCAATTTTTTTTCAAGCTTTCGTGAAACAAACACCATTTTCAACCTCGTTATTTTCAAGGTCCATGTCTTCGATATCTTCGATCACAGATATAAGATTGCAAATGTTGTTTATCCTTCATTCGTTATTCGAAATTTAATATCTTATTCATAGCAATGAATTATATTGTTTTTGAAAACTAACGATATTAAAAAGTGCTTGAGAAATTTTTGCTGTTCGTTCGATGTATTAGTGACACGTTTATCTTTAGCTGTTATTATCTATACGAACATGTTACAAACAACAACTAAGTAGTATACCAAAATATAAATCGTCGATAGCTTCTTATGTAACATCTTACGAATATACAGGATGCTTCGGAAATAGATCGTCAAACTTTGTTCGCGTATTCTACTCTCCTAAAGGTTGAAAACTGACGACATAAACATATGTTTGGAAACTCCCATTTCGAGATATAAATAGTGTTTGTTCGTCTAGAAATTTGATACGAATAGAGTATCGAATTCATACGTTGAATTACGAGCACTGTTAACACCATTTCCCGTTAGAAAACGACTCTCGTTAAATAAGACAACGTATATCGTGATAAATCAGTTTCTGTCTAAGCGTTTGATAATTAAGAGTCTCGTTAGGATGGCTCATTTTTCTGGAACGTATTATCGTAACGGAATAATTTTCAGCAAATTTCTTCAATTAAAACTTCCAGATCTATGTGTCAATATGATATTTTTCAAGCACCCTGCATAGTCATAAGAAACGACTTATTAAACGTTATTGATCCACACAATAAGAGTATAATTTAGTCTAGAATAAAAATTGCGTTAACAATAGAGCAACATGTGCAAGCGTGACAATGGAGTAACACGATGAGTCGCGGATCAAAGAAAAATATTTAAAAAATATATTCGATAACAAAACAACACGTTACATAATTTCCTTTGCTCTTATTTGCTCGGATCGTCTAGAATACAAAACAATCGCTTTTAATTAGACTTTCAGAGCAGTTTAAAATTTCACGTTATCAATAAAACAGGTTAAAATTTGTTTCTCTATTGTTAAAAGTTTTTATTCCAGGTTAAATTACACTATTATTCTGAAACTATTTAATTTAGCATTTAATACAGTTTGAAAAAAAGGGTTGCCTGTTACAAAGTCAAGTTCATTTATTCCGCAAGCAATATTCAATTTTACTTATTTACAGTAGTTTTCCTGACGAGTTCTCGGTCGAATGGATCATTTATCCTTCATCTTACGCTTGAGTAACCACCGATCGTCCTTTCGTATCGAGTATCTCTGAATCTACCGGCTATCCAAGCTTGCAGTTCATTTTTTTAAACATTCGAGACCGACATATTATTACGAGACTATCCCCACTAGTCGTCAACATTTTTGCAATTTTGTTCTGACCCGCATGTTACGTCATTGATTAAATAAACGGGATTCTGCGTGACTCATACCTTGAGTTATCGATTTTGGACGCGTATCAGTGACCGATACATTTTGCTATAATTATCATCCAAATTTCTATTCAACTCACACTACACTGAATCTGCCGCAAGACAAAGCATACCGACTATTAGAATGACATTGGTGACTACCCATTGATAGAACGTGAGCACTTCCGGTGTCGTAGCACCGATCGGAAGTCTAGGCGCCATATACGCGCCACGGCCTCGCGACAGATTCAATGCCCCACATAGTAGAGGAAATTCTTTACAAATCTGTCGCCATAAATTAACAAAAATTTATTTCCTCGATCCGTGTGTAACAGTTCGTTAAAATGATACTTTCATATATTGGACACGAATTTTCTGCGTTCCCCTAACGATGGTGCTCCAAAATGGCCGTCCACAAAGGGTCAAAGGGTTCGTGTGTTCGTAACTCTGAATCAGAGACGAGCAATATGTTGCAATCCGATTACAACAAGATTATATGTAATTACACAATAATTACACGATAATTAACTAGCTTTTACATGCTTATAATTATAATATTTTACTGCTCGAAGACTTATAAATCTTTCGCTCCAGAAATGTTTTTTTATATAACCCTTGTTGAAGACTGATGAGTTTGCCTATTTAATGAATTAGAAATCTGCTACTATTATATTTACGAACTATATAGTATAGCAAAATATGATCTAAAGATGGTGTAGGTTAATTCTGGCTAGTGTACTATGATTATTACTCCTATTATTCTATTTAATAGGAGCCACGATTTTAACCCTTTGTGGACTCGACAATCTTTTGACTAATGTTGTAGCTTCTGATGTTACAATTCGATTCAAACATCTGACAATAATTTAATCGACTTTTAGACAGAAAATTCAATATTCGATTATTGAATCCTCTTCGATGTAGTTATATGAAAGAAGACAAATATGTTAAACAGAATAAAAAGCCAGAGCTACCCGTTGCAGAATATTTAAAAAAATACCATACGAATTACAAGTAAAAATAGCTAAATCGACGAAGAAATAGGAAAGTTAACGTTCGATTCGATCGTTTTTCAGGTGCTGGCCGCCCTCTCGGTGTCGATGGGTTCCATGGTGGTCGGTTACTCCAGTTCCTTCACATCTCCGGGCTTGGTGTCCATGCGGGACAACGCCACGGCCACGTTCGAAGTCACGAAGGAAATTGTAAGTGAAAAAATGCACGCCCGGGGATAGATCGGAACGCGGTTGTATATCGAGATACGCGTCCGCGTAAATCGCGAGCCCCGCGAATCCCCTCGTGACCACGTTGTTTCCAAACAAACGTGCTTCGATGGGATGCCGTAATCTCGTAAACGTTACGGCGAAACGAGAAACAACGTTATCCGGATTTTCTTGCTATCCGGTCAAGGTCCTACGATCGGTAACGAGGCACGTTTGTTTGGAACGTTTCCCAATTTATGCGATCCTCCGAGACACGCGTCGTCTTCGATAACGAGCTCGATCTTCCTTTTCGCCGACAAAGGCACCGTACAGGTGTAGACGTCGCTTTTCGAGCGATAAAAGTCACGGTGCACACCAGGTGTTGCAAAGGCCTTCAATACTTTGTCAATTTTAATTTCAAGTGTAGTTTCTCATGTACACTTTCGTATATTGCATATCATTCTTCCTTTTTTTTTATCGTAGTATCTTGACATATTATTATGATTAAAAACAGGGTCCCAAAACGATATTTTTAACGTCGCTTTTTAAACGGTGAAAGTCACGGTGCACACCAGGTGTTGCAAAGGCCTTAAATACTTTGTCAATTTGAATTTCAAGTTTTGTTTTCCATTTCCACTTTCGTATATTGCATATCATTCTTTCTTTTTTTTATCATAGTATCTTTATACTTTATTATAATACTTTGTCAATTTCAATTTCAAGTTTTGTTTTCCATTTCCATTTTCGTATATTGCATATCATTCTTTCTTTTTTTTATCATAGTATCTTTATACTTTATTATAATACTTTGTCAATTTCAATTTCAAGTTTTGTTTTCCATTTCCATTTTCGTATATTGCATGCCTTTTTTGCTTTTTTTTATCATAGTATCTTTACATATTATTATAATTAGAAACAGGGTACCAAAACAATACTTTTGTATAGAAACTGAAAACATTGGAGAACAAATTTTGTTAGCCCCTGAATGGGAAGCCATCCACACATGTACGACCTGTGGCGCACGCCGTGTTAAATATTAATATAAGATTCGTGACCCCGTTTCGGTGCATCCTTGCAAATCTATCGCGACTTCTACGAATATTACTCACTTCGAACATTCTACAACCTCGATACTCGTACAGTAGTCGCAACGTTTCGGAGATTCGTTCTTGTAACGGTGCCGATTTTCGATCTTGAAGCGAGGAATTACTGTACGGCGAACGTTCGATATTGGAAAGGGTCAATGGATGATTAAAACTTTAACCTCGAATGCGTCAATGGTAGTCGACGGTGGTCGGAGGCGCGATGTTTCGATTACGACACCGTTGGTCCAGCAAGCAGCCATTGGCTGGCCGCGCCTCGGCGACAACGGCGCGCGATTGGCTTCCTTGGCTGCACCAGCTACACTCTGTCGCAACCTTCGACGACCGATACCCGTGACGAGGTTTAATCGACTTCTCGTTTCCGTGTTCTCTCTCTTGCTCCGCGACTCTTGTCTTTCAGGCACGTTACTCGTCGTACGCGTTTTAACGATTTCCTTCCTTCCATGACATTTCCTTTCTTCTTCCCGCGAGCTTATTTATATTCGAAGGACGACGCGCGATCGGTGGTACGATCTTTTAGTCTCGAACGAGCGGTTCGGCGATTTACCGCGCGCCGTTCATCATTGTCGCTCGCGGGGACGCCTGTTGCAAGCCATTTTATTCGCGATAAAGAATAACGAATAAACCGCGAGACAGAGACGTGAACGTTCTTTGGTTCGCAAGAACGACTAAAATTATGCACACGATAATGTACAGAAGCTCTTGGTGCAAACTATCCAATTATTATAGAGTTGGGCAAATTTATTCGTGAGAAGGAATAACGAATAAATCATAAAATAAAAATATAAACGTTCTTTGGTTCGTAAGAACAACTAATATGCAGGTTATTCTAAACTCAGTTTACTCTAAACTTTCACAGAAGAAAAGTTTATTCGTAATAAAGAATAACGAATAAACCACGAGATACTGACATAAATATTTTTTGGTTCGCAAGAACAAATAAAATTATGCTCACAATAATACACAGAGCCACTTGACGTAGACTATCCAATTATTATAGAGTTGGGCAAATCTTATTCCTTATTTTGAGAAGGAATAACGAATAATAAAATAAAAGCCTAAACTTTCTTTGGTCCGTTACAACTAAAATACTGAACACAATAATATACAGGATGTTTGATTTTAATCTGCAAACTATACAAAAAATGGTTCACGTGCGAATCGAATGATTTTGAGGAGGGCATAATCTGGTGTAATTAGTTTTTCTGTGAAAGGACGCGTGAAGGTCGCACGAAGGCGACATACCTTTTGCAATTATATAATTTTTAATGCGCCAACGGATGCAGATCATTATTTCTTATAAAAAAATGTTGAGCTATTTATGTCGAGAAATCTTTTGTTTGGAAGATATTCTAATTTCAATATCGTGAAGTGGCGCAACCTGGCTGCTTTTACATTTTCCATGCAACTACCACTTTATTAGCGATTTGTCGGCATAAATAGCAGAATACTTTTTTTTCCAAGCGATACAGAAACATCCTGTGCAAGACATAAATTTAAAAATTCATGAATATATTACGATTTTATGGGTCAAATCGTTATTCCTTAAGCGCTAATAAATCTGTAGCGTTCTTCGAACCAGATTTGTTTGAATACTAATTCACTCCTTATTTGAAAAGTAAATGAATGTGATTAACAAGTGCCGCCAATCGAGCGGTATTCGTCTCTGGAAAATTTATCGTAATTCAGCAATAATTTTTATTCAACGACCAAGCCGATCATTCTGAGTTTCTCAATTACTATATTAGTAGTCATAACGCTTAACGTTTACTCTATATTGTAACGATTGAAAAATTACAGTAAAAAACTTGCAAAATACCAAAGATAACAACTTCATTCTCAACTCTAAAGAACATTAATTAGAAACCCATTGGTTTTTATTAGGAATGAATTACTTCACTGTATTCGTTATCTCGAAAAGTTTATTCAAATAATTATTCTAAGAATTCACTCGCATAACGCCCAACTCCACTATTAAAATTGCACACAAAAGCTAATTAACAAGTTTTGTTGCTCTCATAACCGATTGACGATTTGATAATAATAGGAATGAATTACTATTCACTGTATTCTTTATCTCGAAAAGTTTATTGAAATAATTATTCTAAGAATTCGCTCGAATAACGCCCCAACTCTACATTTAAAAATTGCACAGAAAAGCTAATTAACAAATTTTGTTTCTCTCACAATTGATTGGCGATTTGATAGTATTAATGGTTTCTATAGAAAAAACAATCTTATTGTATTTAATCGCGGTTCTGCTATGTGGACTCATCGACGAGGCTTATCTAACATATCTTGCCTTAGACGTGACGCTATTAATTGTTTCATGAATCTGTTAAACTAATTATGTACTAATGAACTATCGAGTAATTGGAGATTGTTCAACGAATCATTACTAGTGTTACGTCTAAGACAAGATCTCTTAGTTAAAGCCTCAATAATGAGTTCGACTAGAAGATACCGGAAGAATCACACTAATATTGTTTATTGTATGTAAAATATTATTTATCACGTTAAACAGAATTTGTTTAAATGCAATAAGGCCCTCTGAAAGACTGTTTATAGAGACATCGCAAACACAGAGATTTATAATTTTACGTCAATAAATAATATAATCGGAGCGCAAATAAAAATAAAAAAAACGCGGTAAAAATACTATTATTAAGCATAGCCTAAAGACATTTAATTGATTCGAAATTTCATAAGTCGACGCATAAAAATTTAAACGTCACGGATAAATAAATGTTCGTTTTGTTGGTTATCTATTACTCGAATAAAATTGTCAGACTCCCACAGACGATCGTGACGGAAAGTTCTGATTTCAGGGCATGTGGATAGGATCGATCATGCCTTTGAGTGCACTGTTCGGAGGTATAGCTGGTGGCCCGTGCATCGAGTACCTTGGAAGAAGAAACACCATCCTGGCCACTGCTTTGCCGTTCATCGCAGGTACGATCACGTTTTTTCTCCGAAAGGTACGCGCGAAGGCTGTTATTCGATGGTCACTTACGCGTCGAGCGAATTCATAATCACCTCAACCGATTCCCTCATTGTTCATTCCACTTAAGTCCTCAAAATCCCAATTGTTAGCATCTAAACGTATACGAAACCTCCTCCATTTAGATTACGAATATAAGGGTATCTTCTTAAAAAGGGCCATTTTTAGGGATTCGAATAATCGTAGACGATCGAAACATATTGTTACGGGCGGACCGTTAGCTGCGAATCTTCCTTTGTTTAGCAGCTACGTGTCTGACTCTTTGGATCAAGGATATTACGTCGATACTATTTATACTAATTTCACGAAGGCACTCGATAGAATCGATCATACGGTATTAACATTGAAACTGTCCAACATGAGATTATGTGGAAATATTTTAAATTGGATAGGCAGTTGCAGTCAACAAGTTCAATAAGATCTCTGGATTCAATTAGACATCGATCCCAGTCATCTTTCCATAGTCTTACGTCTTTTAAGCTAGGCTATAGACTCAGTCCAATCGCCTGGTCTCATCACTGCCACTCACTTCTCCACACTCGAACCACTCTGTCTCAAGGATCTTATTGACTCTTTAGACGCGATTTCCAATTGCGTCTCTTCGGTTAATAATTCTTTTTTAAACAATCTTAGATCATAGATCACTTTTCCATAATTATCGTATGCTAAACCACAAGGTCCTCGCTTAGGTGCCTTATTATTCACAATATTCATTAATGATATTTTTAGTTCCTATTATTTGCTGACGATCAAAAAATATATAAAAATTCAATATCCAAGTCTGACTGGATAGATCTACAATCTGAACATTGTAAATTATAATTTTTATCTCAATTTATATTTGAGTAACGCCCGATTAATACGAATATATTTTTAGTAAAAGATAAATTTGTTTCGAACAATTTTTTCATTCGTTCGGTAAGAATGATGTTCGATCGATCGATCAATTAATGACCGATCTGCGTTTCAATTGCAGCTTGGCTGTTGATCGCGCTTGCAACGAACGTAGCGATGGTCCTGGTTGGTCGAGCTCTTTGCGGCTTTTGCGTTGGCATTGCCTCGTTGTCGCTGCCAGTATATCTGGGGGAAACTATACAGGCCGAAGTAAGAGGTACCTTAGGCCTATTACCAACCGCCTTTGGTAACACAGGTAAGCATTCGTTATTTTCTGTTCTCAGAAAATTTTATTTCCAAACGACAAATAAAAATTTCAGATTCGAAAAGCGTGGAATTCGTTAAGGGATCTTTTGCACCCCTTGCCTCTAAGAGGCTCTAAAACTAACGTATCTCAATTTTAATTAAATTTCGTAAACTATTCTCAAATATTTAAATGTTCAGTAAAAGTTAGTTTAATTAATCTGACATTTTTATTCGTTATTGGGGAATAAAATTTGCCCCACTCCGCCTGTTCTTCCTTTTTCTTTGAAAATGTGTTTTACTGTCAGGATTGTGCAATATTTTGTTCGAGCAATATAACTAATAAAATCGAGGAAAATGTGACCGTTAAAAATAGTTGTCCCATACTGTAAATTTACCGAACAATAGAAATATGTCGATCCAATCAGTAGTTTGACGTTTTCACTTAACGAATATTTACGTTCGTCAATGTTTCGACTTTAAGCATCGATCTTTCGTTTAAAAGATGTCCAAGAAATGTAAACGTTTGACAAATGTCTTGCGAAACATAATCCTCTGATTTAAATTTACAATTTGCGTCTTTTGGACTTTGCGAAACGAGTCTTTTCTCTGTATAGCTCTGTTACGAGCAAAATCGTATCGTTGGATCGTTCTATTTGTACTTTCGCCATTGAAATATTTACAAAGAGACGTCGCTATAGCACATGACAGCGAAATCGAATGACGACTGCAGTTTACATTCAACGCGAATCCTTTGATGTACCGATACGACTCGAGAAACGATCGCGCCAGTTCGATGAACGTAAACGCACCCCGCTGGCATGGATTTTTAAATTGAAATGTATCTCTGATATTAAATTCTTTCGTTCGATCCATCCAGGAATTCTGGTGTGCTTCGTGGCGGGGATGTATATGAATTGGCGAAATCTCGCGTTGCTCGGCGCGAGTCTACCGATCCCGTTCATGATCCTGATGTTCATGATCCCCGAGACTCCCAGGTGGTACATCTCGAAGGGAAAGACGAAAAGGGCGCGAAAGTCGTTGCAATGGCTGCGTGGCAAAGACACAGACATCACCGAGGAATTGACGGCCGTTGAAAAGCTACACATCGAGAGCGAGAGGAACGTGTCGCAGGGCGCCTTCATGGAACTGTTCAAAAAGGGTCACCTGAAACCACTTCTCATCTCTCTGGGTCTCATGTTCTTCCAACAGTTGTCAGGAATCAACGCAGTCATATTTTACACCGTACAAATCTTCAAGGTAAGCCTAGAAAAGGTCTTAAACTTTTGTTCCTCGCTGCATTTGATTAAATTAAATTTAGATTATCGTACAATAGTATTGACATTGAATAGTAAACAATTCATAAAAACCAGAGGTTTTTCCCCCGTAAGTAAAATGAATAAATTTCTCTGCGTTTCAGGACGCGGGCAGCAGTATCGACGAGAACCTGTCCACCATTTTCGTGGGTATCGTGAACTTCATCTCGACGTTCGTCGCGGCGGCCGTGATAGACAAGCTGGGCAGAAAAATGCTGCTCTACATAAGCGGCGTCTCGATGTGCTTGACCCTGTTCACGTTCGGCGCGTTCTTCTACGTGAAGAACGTGGTGGAGGCGAACGTGTCGGAGTTCGGTTGGATACCGTTGTTGAGTCTGGTCGTTTACGTGATCGGGTTCTCCCTGGGATTCGGCCCGATCCCGTGGCTGATGATGGGCGAAATACTGCCAGTGAAGATCCGTGGCTCCGCGGCCAGCGTCGCGACAGCCTTCAACTGGACGTGCACGTTCGTCGTGACGAAGACCTACCAGGACATCGTCTCGGTATTCGGTACGCACGGCACGTTCTGGATGTTCGGCGTGATCGTGCTGGTCGGTTTCGTCTTCGTGATCTTCTGCGTGCCGGAGACGCGCGGCAGATCCCTCGAGGAGATCGAGAAGAGATTCGCCGGACCGGTGCGAAGAATGAGCGCGGTCGCAAACATGAAGCCCATGCCTATGGCTTGTTAACCGTTCCTCTACGCGTCGATGGGCAGCAAATCCAATCTGTTCGATCGGAGGGTAAATCGCGTCGACCCTTAACGGTCGTTCCACGATGCCTGTCGAACGACACGTATAGTTCCTTCTGCTGACAAGGACGCGCGAACGAGACGGTGAATTCTTCCTGTTGAAACTGGAGTCTGAACGTCCTCGATTTATTTTTCTCTCTCACTCCCCCGCCTCCTTCGCCCCCGTCCACGTACATTTCGTTTTCTGCCCCTGGTATCGCTCGTACAGGATCGACAAAACTCGAGACGGCGCGGACCTAACCTGACTCTCGAACGTTCGCCGGTGGGTGGAGGAGGAAGGCGGGACGAGGAGCGTCGTTGTCGGGCGTCTTCCGGTAGTTTGATTTCCTGTACTTACGAGAAGCAACGTAACGGATAGTCGAATGTCTAGCGAGAATGGTACGAACGATGAGACGCAAGATCGACGACGAGACGGAGAGGGGTCGTTGATGCGTCGCGTCGTAGTCGCATATTTTTGTTATTCGATAGTTTTACAGGGTCTACCTCAAGTTTTAGTACTTTTACGGAAGGTATACGCGTAGGTTAAGGACATGTGCGAATTATTTAATTTAGTATACGCGTGCGTAGGACGCGAGTACGGCGCACAAGCTGTGTTTACGGGAGATACGTATTCGTATACGCGAATACGCGTACCGCGTGTATAGGAATATGTGTACAGCGTCGAAGGAGGAAGGACAACGTTCCGCAAAGAACGTGTCCGGAAAGAACGGATGGTTCTTTACCATCGCGACAATAAATTTAAACGTCGACGAGCCAAACACTTATTCTTGTGTATCTCCGTCGATAACGGCCGTCGGGTTTGTACATACGTACCGATATTACCGATACGCGTCAACGGACAATTGCATCATCAACGAACGAATTAAATCGTAAGATATAGTTAAGAAACAGAGATACCAAAACAACACGCGTCTATTTTTTCAACGTCGAAACTGTTGTAACTGGCGAGCGAACAAACGTGATCGTAACAAGAAAAAGAAAAAAAGAAAAAAAAAAAAAATGCATGATCGATCTGTACCGAGGCACGACGAACGCTTCGTTTAACGTCGTATGCATGCGAAATCCTAGTTGTTTTTTTTTGTAACGCGACGGGGATACTTACTCGTTTAGTTTCCGTTTCGATTGGATCGGATTGAATCTCGATAGCACGTGCGACACCATCTACCCATTTTTTTTTCTCTCGTTTGTTTTGTTTTTGTCATGTAAGTATGGATGAAACGATGTATATCGTTGCCACGCCATTCTGAATCTCTGCTCTACAATGGGACAAGATAGCGTCACGAAACATTCCTATTGTACGGTTCAACGTACGATCTTCGACCAACGACGTCGCGAGCAATAAGTTTCCGTCGAAAAATGTGTTTCGTGCGTCAGAGCTCGGAACGCTCGAGTTACCTGCATTCGATCGGTAATGTCATCCGACTTCATATTTTTACCTTTGTATTACAGTTTCTATTTATCCGGCAATGATTTGTACCGCGTGCCTTGCGGGCATAATGGTGCTTGCCAAATTTATCAAAATTCGATGGAAATATGTTCGAAAACGTAATACTCGCGTTAAGTTTGTATGTAATTTATAAGTTATTAAAATCTAACGTTTATGACGACATTACTTCGATGTTTTTCGTTGTTTCATCCCATATCCCCCCATTCTTTGTCAATTTACTCATGCACAAGAATAAACGATCTTTATTAATGATTTATTAATGACCGATATTCTCTAACTATAACTTTATTATTACAAACATTATTGGTTGATCATTTCTGATTTCTCATAATACATACAGGATAAATCTGTTTATATCTTCTCTCTTGACATCGAACTACTAATTAAAACTATAAATTCACAGATAACCAAACATGTAGAATTAGGAATTTTTAAAGAAAAAGTACATCGAACAAGGATGAACTCGAGTAATAAATTGATGCTTTCGATCAAATAAAATCTAAATAAAAATGAAATTCGTAAAGTAACAAATACGATTTTCAACCGCTGTTAATTTTGTATCATCAAAAACGATGGGCTTTTTGACACGTAGTCGTAATTATTTCTGGCAATGCTAGAAGTATCATGCTATTTTTGAAAACCTCAAGATAGAAAATGCAATTCGCATAAATTGACTAAATGTAAACATTGCTTTCGTATTTCGTATTTTTGTCATTTTACGCATTTAATACATCGATAAAGTTTGGCCATTAAATTCCGAGACACTCGATACATCGAATACCAAAGGACGTCGTCTGTTTTTTAAATCGAATCGTTGACAATTAGCTTTCTAACCAATAAATCGTTTTAATAAGTGCTCACCCATTACTTGAACTCGGCAAATCGCACAAGTGTCACACTCTACGTCCCAGCTCCACATGGCCACAGCGTTCCATTTTTTCACAATAAACAGCTTGTCCGGCTTTAGATTATCGTTATCGCTACGATCACCGAAATCTTGCTCCGACTCAGCCATCTCGAGCTTTTAGGTTAGAAACAATAAAGTGATGCGAGGACCTCGAACAAAACAAATGCCAAACGTCGTTTGTCGCACTCGTCGCTGTTGTTCGACTGTACGCGCGTGTAATCAAACAATGTTAACAAGGAAAAGTTTTATTAAACGTTCCGACAATAGACTGCGCGTCGTTGTTAACAACATTCGTCCACACATAGATGGCTGCGTTTTGTTAGTTCGCAAAATGTCTACAGTGGCGCCACAAGACGTAACGCACATGCGGCACATGCCTAGAACCACAGTCGATGTATAGACGCAGACTGTATTTCCTTGCCAGACTTATTCCTGTAGTTCGATTTTGAGAATCGAAATGTTTGCTGATCACATAAAGATTCACCACGTATGCTCTTCCACAATCTTCATCTTTGGATGAGAATGGAAAGTCATTTTTCGTTACTACTTTGTCACCATACTCATCTGTAATTGTAATAGTAGTTTGTGTTTCAGCTGATACGCGAACCAAAATATGGTTGTTCCTGATCCGGTGTGTACTTCCAAGACAGCATTGTAAATAATTTGAACTTGTCGCGAAGTTTGTTAGAATTGAAAATTATGAATATTTTTCGCGTTTTCTTCCAGGATAGTGTCGCGAATAGACATCGATCGTGGATTGCATTAGTGTTGCGAACTATTAATGACATTCGCGTTTTCTGTATAACTAACGTTGCGAATAATTTGCATTAATTATATAATTGCTTTTAGAGTTGCGATCGATTATAATTTTCGCGTTTGCTTTCAGGGTAGTGTTTTAAAATCACAAAGCCAACTAGCTAGGCGCATAAGTTGAGATTTTTTGCAGCCTTATATGGTTGTACCCGAAAACAACTGGTATCTGTACACCACTATCGCTCGTGATATATGGGCTAAGGCGTATAAAATTAATTTTAAAATTAATTTGGTCTGTGCACCGTCGGATGGTTATATTACTTTTTCATATTCATTTTTTATACAACTGGATTATCAATCCATCAATTTATTTTTCAATAAATACAATACAAAGATTATGAATCCAAGCATGAAACTATTAATTATTAAATAGGTATAATTGTGTTTTGGGAATAAATTCCGACATGTGTAATCTGGACACGATAGCCTATGTAGTATTCGAGAACAGTACTCTACCAACAACTCTGCAATAGTTAAAGTTTATAATAGATCGTCAATTCAAGTAAACTATTATTTATCAATGTAACCGTCCGTTATTCCCGCTTTGATAGCAGAAAATAACACGCGTTGAGCATAACTTACGAGGCACTCGCAATCTAGCCACGGATAAATACAAAATCGAACAAGATAGTGGGGTAGAACAACGAGTTATGGAAATTCGAATGCATATACATTATTCCTTTTCGTTGGCTGAATAGTTACGTAGATATTCACAATCAAATCGCTCGAGGGAATATTTAAGCCACTTGAAAAACGTTTTCAAATATACGATTCTGTTCGAGCGGCCTTTAGATTCAGATACACGGATATTAGGAATTTTTTCGAGATCTCGACCCGACGTGACCCAATTATTACCCGCTACGACCCGAGCACTCTTAAAGAAAATAAACTAAAAACCGTCAACGAATTCGAACGATCCAAATAATTCAGAAAAAAGATTTCACTGTACAGATACACGCTTCGCTTACACTTTATTAATTCATTTGCAATACATTAATTAAGTCTGTTTAAATAGCATCGAGGCTACCTAACGTATGCCTTCGTTTATACTATAGACAATCATCTAGCTTAAACACACACTCTCTTTCTGTCTCTCTCTCGATACCCTTTCTGTCTCACACACTCACTCTCTATCTTTCTCTCTATCGTTTTCTCGTACGCCCTTTTTCTCATTTGCGCATTTTTTCCGTTTCTCTTTAATCTGTTCCATTATCGATATCATTTTATCGTTATTGTTATTACCATTGTCATTATCATTATACCATATAATATATCATAAGATCGACGTTAAAAACTAAAATTCGTATAAAAAGCGTCGTTATTCATACTAACAATATAACTGTACTATTTAAATAATAATTGAATCTTAAAAAATTATTTGTTCTTGTTGTTCTTGTTGGTGGCGGGTGGGTGTGTCTGAATGTATGAGATGTCTAATGCATCGGCTATAATACGAGGGTGCAAGGCGTGCATAAAGTGACGTTACACCATCTTCGTCGCGTACGTTCGCGTCTCGACGTACGATCCCGAAGAACTATTCGGTAAGATCGCGAAATGCCCCGATGTTGCGCTCACAAATCAAAAAAAAAAAAAATATTAATACAGCTTCGTCGTTCGTTCTTACAGGAACCGGCGATCGTCTACAGGAAATAAAATGAAATAGGCGCGCGAGACGATCGATGATCGTCCGCTCCGCAAAAATTCCAAGAAAAAACAAAGCGTATGTCGGGTTGCGTTCTCGAATTAAATAACAAAGTAAGCGTTTTACGTTAGAAGTCAATGAACGCGCGTTTTACTCGTTACGATCTTACCGGTTTCGAACGTTCCTGGATCGCGTCAGGACGGCACACGGCGTGCATTCGCGTTCGCGTGTTCAGCCGCACCCCGTACACATTATTTATAATTATCGTTTATCTCGTAGTCGTTTCACGCCGCATTTCTCTTTTACAATCTAGCTAATACTTTTACAAACTACGAATGTTTAGCACAATCACTACGACCGAACCACATCTTCGTCTCTCTCCCCTTTAATCCTCCTTATTACGTAAACCTATCCGCTATTACGAGCAATAATGTACATCAATTACATTAAAAAAAAAAAAAAAAAAAACGAAAAAAAAAAGGAAACAAAGAAAAGAAACAAGAATTACCGTGAACGTTTCTTGTCGATCGTTTTCATCGTCGCACGATGATCGCACTTCGCGTATAAAGGTACCGCGGGGGGGTTTACTGGGAAATCCAAGAAATTACTACCAACGCCATTGTCCATGCGTCCTCTTCTTAGGACGCTGTGACGCGCGATATAGAATCCGTTTAAAATGTGTGTCCCCCGTCGTTTCTCACCACGGGTACAAACGCGCGTGATGTACAATTACGTTTACTAGACCTTATTCGAAATCGAACGTCGCTTAAAAAATCTCCCAACGCTACGCGAACAATGATCGATAAATAACGAGGTCCTGTCGCGGGGAGCTCGCCGCGGATAAAAATTCGAGAACACTTACACGTCGTATGCGACACTAATTGGGCGCCACGGAGTATAAAACTGCCGTTCATTCTCGAGAAACGTAAACACGATCGCTCTGCCACGAGACACGCAACTCTTCGTTAAAAACGACTTGCCATTCGACGACGTGCACGCAATCGCTGACGATTCCCATCGAATTCGTCGATATTGCTTACGAACATGATATCGAAATATGTATGAGGAATTACATTTGTCGGAATACAATCGCGAAGGAACGAAAAATGTGGGGAATGCTCGCAATTCTTTGTGCATCGAGTATTACGCATTGTTAAATAATTCGTGTTTACCAGCCACGTATTCGTAAGTGTTTACAAAGGTTGCACTTGTGTTCGCATCCTCAGGGTTGGGCATCGATCGACTAAATCTTTCTCGAACAGATGGTAATCGGAAAAAAATTTAGCCGGAATTAATCGGTTACTGAAATCCATCAACCACGAGAAATCGACGATATTGATTATGTTAAGTTAGTCGCCGTCGTTAATTAAATTATTAGTTCTTATCTACAAAATTTCTATCTCACGCATTTACAAACTTTAACTATTTAAGAATATATTCCTCAAGATCAAAAACATTCTTCAGACTTTCAAAATAAATCCCCAAGAATATATTCTGAAATAGTTGAAGTTTGTAAATGTACGATACAGAAATTTCCAATGTTCTCGACTCGACGTCGAGAATAATTTATTAACTCAGTCGATGATGCAAGTGACTAACAATTTCGTCAAACTTTAATTTAAATTTGCCCAACACTGTCACATATTGCTTATTAGGAAGTTCGTTTCGGCAGTGAATAAAATAATGACTGTAAACAATGTATGCTTTCCAACGGCGGAAGCAACGTTGCACTGTACATGTTAACGATTATTATTGTGAAATGTAAATGATTTAAGTAATTGATTGTTTGCTGAATGAAATTAGACTGTTCGCTGCTCTGAACAAGGATGTCTTTCTTTTGAAAGCTTTTGACCACAGTATTTTGGTCTCTTTTGGTGATAAATAAAAATATAATTTAAAATAATATTTATATCTGTATGAAGCAAATTGTTATACAGTTTCATATATGAAGTGAAGTGTATTCATCTTTATAATTATTTACTTGTACTTTACATGTTTTTCTAATTTATTTCATCTCGCGATAAATTCATATAACAAATAAAAAAGAAAATAGGATAGTTGTATTTTTCCCTTAAAGAGGACCAAATCACACTGCGATTAAAGGTTTTCAACATAAAGCAACGCCTGTTCCGCCTAACGAAAAGCCCAATTGTATCGGACATGTTTAAAATACTGTAGTTCCTTTAGTCAACGTCCGCGTCGATCTATCGGTTTTATTTATTGCAATCGTTCCAGTCCAACCGATGAGCATTTGTTCACTCGTGATTTTAGTGCAAACAAAGGCCAAAGCGAACGAGGAACAAAAAGAAAAAAAAAAGGGAAAAGAATTCGTGGAATGGCATTAACTTCGTCCTTAATTGGAAGATTGACTCCGTTTGTCATTCTATTGTATCTTACTCTGCAGCAAATATTACCCCTTTCATCGTGCTGACGTTTTCGTGGGCAAATGTGTTCGCGTGTGAGTGTTGCAATGTTTTCATGTGACTATCTATATAGTATACATATACACTATATTCATATTTATACATTCATGTGTACGTACATACACATATTTTCTGCTTTTTTTTTTTTATTTTTTTCTCTCACATTCATTAATTTGCAAAATATTTCTTTTGCCGACTCTTCGACGCTAAGCCTGTATAATACAATCGCAAATTACATCGTGTGTTCGCTTAGGCAAAATTTAACTCGTTAATTCTCGGTAAGTACAGTGACCATTTCGCACATCGTGTTTCCTTCCTGTTCGGTTTCGCCACGCAAAACGGAAGTTAAAACGTCTCCCGTCCGCGAATCGCGTCGGTCTCTCGAGAAGCTCCAGAATCGCGAAACGTAATCTACCGCGTTGGATTTCTGTCTCGTGCGACTTCCGGTGCCTCGTCGATAAAGCTTCCCGAATTAACCACATCGCGTGCCAACAACCCCTGCGAGGTTAAATGGAAATTCGTTTGGCGGAAGCATTCTCGACGAGTATCGAAAAGTTCCTCTCGCTGAATGATACGGAAAGGTAACGTACAAGCCTTTAAAAAACATTCGCCAAGAATATCGAAACAATCAAAAGTTGTCACACGCTTTGACAAAGCGAACGAATGGTAACTTCCGAGCCGCGCGTATCACGTATTAGCACTATTTGCAACAGAACCAACCCCATCACTCTCCATATATTTCTTTAATCCGATAATTGTTTTTAACGCTTTTTTTTCACGCCAACTCGGCGTTTGAAAACAGAATTTTCATGAAAAGTACACGATTACTTGTCTGCTGTGAAAAGGATATACATCGATTTATTACTTTACAGAATTTGTCAGATTTTACGTTTCGTAAATTTATACATTGCATTACTAGCATTCTAAATGGAAAAAGGGTTAAAACATTATTGGAGGGGCCAGTTCTGAGGACATAGTCTTTCCCAAACCACTCCACATGAAATCTATAAGTTTTTATTTAACTGCAAGAAAGGAGCCAGTGTTGCATTGGAGATAAAGTTATTTCACTATTGGTCAGGATATTGTATTGACAAACAAACAGATTCCTCTCATATTGTGAACATTGCTCAGTATACTCTGTTTTATTGAATCTCTGCAAGTAGTTCATAGCAAAATTTATACTGGAGGAAATAGCTATGATATTCATATTACCGGACAAAGAAGAAAGGAGAAAATTATACTAATGGGTATATAAAAGTCTACTATTAAAAAAACCAAAACATGAATTTTATATGATATACATGTAGATAATTGTTTGAAAACTATGCTATCTTGCATCAGGGTTTCCCTTCTGCTTTGATATTGTTATACTTTTCACAACTTATGGTTCTACAAAAGTATATACAGAGTGTATCATAATATGTGAAAGTTGTATTGATGAGGGTCTTGGAAATTAAAAACAATGCAGAAAGTTCATATAAACATATTCCATATTTGATATTGTTCCTAAGTTATAACCGTCTATAATTGATTCTATTGTTGGTTGTGTTATTCTATAAGGTAGTCTATTTTGTTCTCTTATGTAATACAAGAACTTAATATATCTATATTTCTGTAATTTTTTATGTGTTAGAAACAATCAGAAGTATTTAATCTCTGGAGGTATTGAGGTAATGAAATGGATAGTTTAACACCTTTCTAAAAATGAATATTGAAAGAAAGCCTGATTCTGTGGTTTTTAAACTATTTACATTGTTTTTATGTTACCAATCTACCACCAAAATGGCTCCCAAATGTTATGATATACCCTGTACATAATTGAATCGATTTAATCTCCTTTTTGTTAACCACATAGGGTCAACAGACCATTGAACAATACATTAAGGAGGCATATATACTTGTAAATTTTGAAACGGTTATTAATTTTAATCTTAAGACATTGTTAAATATGTAATTAAAATATAACAATCAAATAAATATATATGAAAGAGGCACAAGCAGTGTGACTCTAAATATCCATCTATACTTCAAATGTAGTGACCAAACATCTTGAGCCTGTTTTTCTTCACAATCACTAAAGCTGGTTTCATAGTTAGTCTTGAGTTTTTTCAATCATATGTATAGAATTCGTAATAATGATTTGTGTATTTGCTATAACGTGATTGCGACATAACCTTGTTGGTTGAACTTCAATCGTATTTCTTGCAATTCTGTTTTAGCTTTTTAATAAGACTAAGCCATTAAATAAAAAAAAATTAAAAATTAAAATTATTCACATCACTGTGTATGCTCCATATCGTATATTGTTCCGTGAGTCATATTTCATTGAACTTTTGTTACGCGTTTAGAAGATATATGTAATTTTTTTTTTTACTAATTTCATCGACATTTCGTATGGATGGGTAGCGTTGCTGTCGACAAACGAGCATAATCGTATTTAAATTGTGTATTAGGGTGTCCCAGAAAATATTGCGCATTTCAAAACCTTAATTCATTAAGTAATAGCTGCAATAAAACATAATTTCAAGCTTGATGATCTATGGTTTTCTACCATCATTTTGAAGATAATTACATTCTTCCGCAAGACTATGCTAGTTCTCTGAATGCAAAAAGTCAAGGCAAAGTGCCATTAGTTGATGGAATTATACTCAAAGTATTATGCAGTGAATTACAGAATTCCAATTTCATTTTCAATAACGACGTGGAAACAGCTAACGACTTGGTTGTCTTTGCAACTAGTCCTAAAAATAAACAAACCGAGTAATAAAAATAAATACAAATGCAATTGTTTATCGATACAGCAAGTCCTCGAGTTACGCGGTTACGCTCCCACTCAAGTCTTTATACATATTTTGTGTACGTGTATGTATATACATATTACACCAATATCCTCTTCTCTTTAGTTTCCATATATGGATCTGTGCAATTTTAATTAACTCCCGAACCAAAGATTGTATATCAGATGTATTGTAAAGAGAAAGAATTGCGATATTGAGCGTTTCAGTCAGCCTTCGTAAGGTCCGTGGCTAACAATTTATGCAAGCAACAGAGTTACTCAAAATTGTCCCCCTCATTCACGGTACCACATTACTCTTAGCGTGTGACTCATCTTTTCTTCTCCTAGTAATACATCACATTCATACAATTTAACTTGCAAAGAAATCGCAGGAAAAAATGAATTGTGAAAGTCGAGGACTTACTATATTCCCCCCAGAAGCAAACGTTAGCATCGGTTATAGAGGGTCAGGACGTCTATTTCATTTCGATGGACGATTTAGAAACGACTAGGAAGCTAAGCGACTACCGAAACGCGCAATAATTTATGGTCTCCACGCCCTAATAGAGAAATATGCTGGCAATCGTTGCTGTTCGTTCGCTGCGTAGTGAAGCGTGCGACGACCTTAAGATTCGACCATCGAGTAGATTAGAACACGAGGAGCGCCCACGCGAGCGTCGATCACAGCGAGAAACGAGCGTCGGGAGGGTTCAGGGGAGGCGAACGGAGCGCGCGCACGTTGATATTGCCCGCGTATACGGAGTTTCTATCGAGTTTGCGTTCGGTCGACCGCTAGAACGAGGTCGACAATGCATGGGAACGAAGGTCTCGGTTTCGGTCACTCTTGGACGACTCCCAGGCGATTGTTCCATGGACACACTACCTCTCTTAGTAGTAGAAGTGGGCAAAACTGTTGCAGGTGTTGCGAGATCGAACCGATCCTCAGCTATGCGTTTGTGGGTGCTGCTGCGCTGGCGGCACCCCGGTAATCTCGGTCCAACGCATTTCGAAGAAACTGCGCATCCCGTGTCCGGCCTTCCCCACGGGACTGTCGTCCTCGTTGAATACCTCGCAGTTGATGAACATCTGTCTGACATCGGCGCAAAACTCTTCGCGAGACTTGTACCTGTATCGAGAAGCACTCGTTGGAACATGTTTTTCGGATTTGTCCAAGTGTTTTTTTTTTGTGTCGATCGAAGCTGACGAGATCAAGTTAGAGAGAGCTTTTGCTAGATCTTAGACGTGTTTTTTTTTTTTTTTTTATTTTTAAATGAACTTTTTTTTTAGTAAGAACTTTAGTTAACTAGGTAGTCGTTGGTACGCGTGCAACTTACACGGAGTCCTGCAATTTCTTCTTGATCGTACTGAGATCCATGGGCGTTTTAATGATTTTCTTGTAGGTCGGGAACTGTTTGGTGTTCACCGGTAAGAGGAACGGCCAGGCCTCGTCCTGTTGCTCCAACTGTTCGAGTAGCATCTTACAAGGAGCCAGCTCTCGTTGTTGTTTCTTCGTGAGCGTCCTATTGTTTCCCTCCTTCCGTGGCGAGGCGGTAGGGGTTGCCGGTTCCGACGAACTGACGTCCTCTACGTGCGTGTTCGATGCCGTTGACGGCGTTGGACTGCGACGCAAAACAACAGAGAAATTATTTGCACGATTAGCTTCCTCTTTGCAGGAGGTGTTTCCCGTCGCAAAAGCTTCTGGACGAATGCATAAGACTCGAGCGTGTGTTTTCCGCCTGAGACGGGTACGTTGTTCTCGATGGAATATTTCGTCTTTCTGACTCTCTGTCTTTCATTCTATGTACTTTTTTGTCTCGCTTTTTTTCCTCTCGCCCTTTTCGCCCATTTTCGTATTTTATTTATTTATTTATTTTTTTTACATTTTCGAGTAACCATAGAACCTGAACGCAGCTCTACACCGTTACGACGAATTCTCTAAGAAAATACCCCGTCCCATAGTCGCTGATCGTTAAGCAACACGCTGTACGAGGTACAGGGCGTCCCGACGATGGGACCTAACAAGATTCTTTATTCACGGGGCATAGAACTTCGCTCGAACGAGGGAAAACCTACTTAACGACGACTTGCGTTTACGTGGAAGCGTGATTATAAACTAACCTATCGTGGAACACCCTGCATAGAGTATAAATACTTAAATTCCTTACAACAATAATTTTCGACGAGTGCATAACACGGGCCGAGGATATATAAGTTCGGTATAATCGCATGAGAGCAGTGCATGTTCGTTCGTTTTAAAACGTTATTTTTTTTTTTTTTTTTTTGTTCTTATTCGATTGAAAGTTATTCGTTCATCGTTTACGTTCGCTGAACGTTATTAAATCATGGTTTTAGCTTGGTAGCTGTTTGTTTGTCTACTTGTACATTCGTATGAAACGTCGTTAAGTCAGCGAGTCGACAATGTTTGTTTGTTTTTAACGTAATCACCTAGCTGGTGGATGGTCAGAACTTTCACTTTCTCTGGTGCCTCCGCCTTTGGTATGACTCCTTCGACTACTATTTCTCTTCTTTGGTTGTTTACTGTGGCAATTAGAACAATACCATTTTCCCCTTGGCATCTGAAAGTACGACACACGTAAGTGAACGAAACAAACGGATGTAGTTTATCACATTTGGTAAAATTGATCGCGGTTGTGCGAATAGTCGGGACGGCAATGTTCACTCACTTTTGGCATAACAGGATTGTGGCAGTCGGTATGATAAGCACGTGGGCAGAGTTCACATAGCACTAAGTTTTTACCAACTCTTTTTCCACATACCAAACAATTTCGTTCCCCTGTTGCTTTGTTCATGCATTCGTGACAATACCTGGAAACGATCGTTTCGATTGAAGATGACGTCGCGATAAAACGTCTTGAACATTTAGAATGCGATTACTTACCAGTCACCATCAGGAATGTTTTCCATTTTTGGACGGAAACAGTAAGTATGGTAGCCGCGGTCACAGCCATCACACAGTAGCAATTTGTCTTCGTTATCTCCGCTGTGACAAAACTGACAATTCTGTAACAAATAGAAAGAAAAACTCTCCATTTAAAGTCGAAACGTCTACTCGGATTAAACCAAAGAAATTTATTATTTCAGCGCTATATTATTAACCAAGCGTTTAAAATTAAAAACCATATTAAATGCAATAAAGGTTAATGTATAAAAATCAGATACATTATTCAAACAATAAAAACAAAGTAGGATAAGCTTGGTGTATAGATATATTTGCTTAAAGGAACCAACGCAAAGCATTTAAAACTTCAATTTCGATGCGTCGAAGTCGGGACGGATAAATTAAAATTTCTTCAAATTAGCATAAAAGTAATTGGATATTTTGTTCAAAATATTTTGCACATAATGCCAATCAGCAGTTGTGATAAATAAAGGGTGGAAGCAGAAAAACTCTACAAAAGGAAAAATACGAAGCATTAAAGGAAAAAATTAGTAGACAAGATAAGCGGCATATTCTTCTTGCATGCTACCGTTACGTTAGACTCTAACCACCATTGGATGTATTGATATATTATTTCTGTTTTTCGTTTATAGCAGCTTTCTAGAAAACTTGTCTTCGGCTTGTCAACGCTCGTGTTGCCAAAGCACATCCAGTATTAATCGTAGGGATTTGAACAAACGATAAAAATTCGCAAATACAACTGCCGCATTGTTCGCACCCGCAAAAATGTCACTATACTTCTAAAAATATTTCCTGACACTGGATGTATATATGTATACATGTATTTGTGGAAAGTGCCACGCGAAGAGCATTTCGTTTGACGTGAACAAACACTATAATCTTTCACTAAATCCTTTAAACAATTATCAATGAAAGCGATATGCTCTCTGTGGTCCACCGTTGCGGGAAGGGCGAGAGTTAGGCAGAAAATAAAGGACAGTTTTGGTTAGTAAGTTAGTGCGAATACCCACAGAGGCCTGAGAAGTAGTCAATAGCTGATTGTACTGATTGGTAGCTTTGAGTGAGACGCAGCGGTTTCGTAGCTTGACGCAGATCGAGTTTCTAGCTGGTGTTAGACTCACAGCCTTCATGATGCTCTTGTCCCAGGCGATGCTTGCCTCCAACATGTAAAGTGCCATGGCGAGCTGAGCCGACGTGTGAGCTCGAGCTGTTGCATCACGCCAGTTGTTCAGCCCTCTCGGTGTTGTTTCTTCTTGAGGCGCCGGCGTCTGATTGCTCGGATCTGAGTTATTCGAGTTGGCGTTTGCGGCCGCTGCTTGTTCTGCCTTCAACGCTGCCAAATTTGGATCCCCCGTGCTGCAATGCAAAAGGCACAAATCAATATTCCACTCGACACACGGTGCTATAGTCGGAACAAAATGAACTGGTTACACTAAAAAGACAGTTATTGTCGCGTATACAGGGTGTTCGACCACCCCCTGGGAACAAATTTTAATGAGAGATTCTAGAGGCCAAAATAAGACCAAAATCAAGAATATCAATTTGTTGATTTAGGCTTCCTTAAAAAGTTATTAAAAAATTAAATTAAAAAATTTTTGGTGAATAGACATACACCCAAAATCCTACGTATTTTCTAGAGAAAAATTCTTTACTGAAAATATACTCTTTAAGATTGATGCCAATACTTTCTACCACTAGTCTTTTTACGCTTGTTAATCAAGGAACCAATCTTGAAAGGTCAGTTCACTTTGATCCAACTTCAGTTGCTCCAATTAAACAGAAATGTAGCATCGTATGTCCTCTTACCAAACACCTAACGGTGGCTTCAAGTATCTCCTCTCAATGGCGGCTTCCAGAGACAGTAACCTTTGTCGTGCCTGTTCTACCGCACTGATCTTCTCCATTTCGTTCAACTTTTCGATTTCTTCGGCCTCCTCGGTTCCCGCCCGCGGAGGAAGCTTCCAGCCTTTGACCTGCATGCTGGCATTGGCGACCTTGTCTTCGAGAGCCTCGACCTGCTCCAAAAGCTGCGCGTCCACGCGTAACGCGACTTGCTCGCTCCATGTTTCCGGGTTGTCTGGTTGAGGAATGAGTGTATCGAGCTCGTCGGGGGTCTGTTGCATCTCGGTGGCAGTAAGATTGCCGGGGTCAACGTTGATCCTGCCTGTGACAGCCAGGAACGACTCCATCGTCGCCCACGTAGTACGTTTCAGTTCTTTCTCGCGTACGCCGCGCGAATGAAGGTGTTCCAGCAGCTCTTGAAACGTGTCCACGTCCGTTATTCTCCACCAGCCGTATCGTAGATCTAAAAATCGACAACAGGACGCGTTAGTAAATCCCTTGTCCCGGATCTTTTCTCCTGGGTAGCGTCAAATTTTGTATACTGACCTTTTGGTACCGGTTTGGCTTCTCCAGGGGGCGGTAGACCGTGGACTTTTAGGTACTCTAGCTGTGCCGCTTCGTCTTGGGTTAAAATCAAGGGCGCGGGGCTATCGCACCTATCATAATTCGGACTAGCTGGAGGGGGAAAAACGGGGATTCTCAGCTCGGTTGGTTCAGCTATTCCGAAAATTTGTTTCGTACTCGGTCCCGGAGTGTCGCATGTCTCGCGCGGCAGAATCGAAAACCAATTGAACTCGTTGCTGTTATCTGCAATTATCGACGTAAGTACCGAAAATGTTCCAGGTACACGAGCATTAAAATCGAACGGGGAATGTATCTTACTGGAAATAAATGTTCCATTTAACTCTTTGCCGTTGTGAAGATTGTTGACGTGATTGTATTTATCACCGTTAGGTATTGTCTCACAAATTTTATCTTCCATTATTCTAACTGGTTTCATGTCTTCGTCCATGTCTTCGTGCTCTTTCTTCGTTTCTTCTTTCATGTCTACGTCCATGCTGACTACTTCTGTCTCCTGTTTAATTTCCTCCGACGTGACGTTGGTCTTCGCGTCGGTCATACCGTCGACGTCGTGCTTCTTCTCCTCTTTTACCTTCGTCGAGTTCTCCGAACCGCAGTTCTGCACGTGTTCCTTCTTGCAATTAATATCTTCGATTTCGGATTTCGCTTTATCCACCAGCGGCTTCACGTCCTCCTCTTGCTCGTTCGAGTTAAACTTCTTCTCCTCTTTCACGTTGTTCGGTGCTTCGTTCTCCCGGTTCTCGGTGTTCGTTTTCGTGTCCTCTTGCTTCGCCTCGGGCTTCTCCTCCACTGGCATGTCTTTGTACTTTTCGTCCAACTCGGCCTGCAGCTCCAGAACTTCCGGTTCAGCGCTCTCCATAGCTTCTATGAAGATGCCACCAGCGCATGCTAGCTCCCAATATCTTCTCCAGTACCTGTCCTGGCCGAATATGTGCGCTCGAAGCTGCTTCGAAGAGCTGTTCAGCTTCTGCAGTTGCTCCTCCGATTGTTTCAACAGTTTGTCCAGTTTCTTGCCGAGCTCCTCGCCGGATAAATTTTTGTCTTCCTCCTAAATCACGGACAATCAAGTACATTTTATATGAAAGATATTAAGCATTAAAGTATTTACGCCCTAGACCTGACAACTCAAGAATTACAACAGTTTACTCAATCATTTTGGTGTACCTTATAGGTGAAGAAATACGACTATCTCATTTACTATTTACTTTTCGAGCGTTTTCAAAATAAAAAGTAAACAGCCTAGTCGTATTTCCCCCTAGAAATTGAAAGTATAAACAAGTTCTATGCAAACCTCTTCAGGCTGAGTCCCTTCGCTCTCGTTCTCGGACATGTCTTCGACCTCATCCTCGTGATGAATCTCATCCGGCGTGGGTGTCGTTCCCACCGCCGTCGAAGTCGTGTTGCTCTCGTCGTCGACCTCCTTCTTCTCTATAGTGATAGTGTCGCCGGTTTTGTTCACGATCACGCCGACCGCTTCCATACGGACCTTTCGACTGTGCAATTGTCTGAGTCTGCGGGCAAACAGGGGGGTTACGGTCGACATCAATCTTGTTTAAGAACAATTATCGATAAACGAAGCTGGGTTAGAAAGGGTTACTCACTTCCTGATCTTGGTGTCCAAGACGAATCTCTCTTTCCTGAGCTGAGCTACCGTCTCTAAGCTTCCCTCGATCTGCCTGATCACAGCCTTGTTTTGCAACAGCTCGTTGCAGAGGAATGCGAGCATCTGCGCCTTGTGCGTCGGATTCAGCGCCAAGAAAGGCTTGTCCCTCAGCCTCTCGGACATCTTCCACGTCTCGTTATTGTGCAGATGTTCGTAGAACTGGGCGTTCTTTCCCGAACAAGTCGAGGCGTAGTCGCCGCCGTTTTGATGATGATCGGCGAACTTCTTGTCGCGTTCTCGTTCGAGACAGACGCCGGTCAATGCCTTCACTTCCCCGGTCGCGTTCGCGTACAGATAGATCCGCAACACCTCGCTGATGTTCGCGTGCGTTATGTCAGCCTGTCGCAGACTCTGACCGAGCCCTGTCGTGTGACGTGCCGGCTGCGGGATCCCTGGATCCTCGATCGCGCACACCAGCAGATGCGTCATCACCGACAGCATCTCCTCCTCGGCCTCCTCGTCGTTGAGGAGCGCCAACTGGAGACTCTTCAGACTCGGTAGCGAGTCCATGTCTGAAGGAATCAAACATAGACTTAACACATACAAACGGTGACCAACGTTTTGGTTCTAAATGGGAAAATGTTCACTTTCCAGCTTTGTATATTGCTTTGTTGAAAATTAAATGGCATTAAATATATTACTGCGAATCAGCTTCTCATTATTACAAATATGAAGGGTTGAAATTCAAAGTACAGTATTGTCTCTCTATAGCCGCGCGTGTCGGGACCGGGCGCACGCAACTTGAGAGACGAGTAGTCTATTCGGCTTTCTTTGATTTCAAGCTCGAGCGTTCAAGGGGGATGGGGCTCGTCGACTTTTCTTCGGCTTTCTCTTTGATATCCGATACCCGATGTCGCGGCGCGGTGATTACAAACGAAGTAGTGGGGATAGCTTCGCGTCTATAGAGAATCCGAAAACGCGCGGCTATAGAGAGACAATACTGTAGTACGTTTTCGTTTCGAACGTTTCGAACGACGATTGCAAGGTGCAGTAAACGGGTACTCACCGAAGCCCAAAGTCTCCCCGAAATTGTGCAGAAACTCGAATACCATGACAATGTCCGAGAACGCTTGGCCGGGCAGCTTGAGTCCAGGTATTCGTTTCAGGTCTGGCAGTGGTCTGTGATCTGAAACGGGAGAGCAGTCACGTAGCAAAGATCCCCTATTGCCTCGCGCGAGGATACCCCGAGAGCGTACCTGTCAGTTCCATATCCTCCACGGGTTTTCTGATCTGTTCGATCAGCTCCATCTCCATTTTTCTCTGCTCGGCTCGTTTCTCTTTCGTCGCTATTCTCTCGGCCCTGGCCTCTAAGCGTTTCTTTTCACGTTCTTCCATCTTTCGACGATTCTCGAGCGCCCGTACCAACGCCATATGCTGCCTCCTTCTCTCCCTCTCCTAGGACGACCAACGAAACCATTGAACGAGAGAAAGGAAGACGGGAACGGGGAGGTATGTTCATGCAGGCTCAACAAAGACGAGGACGTCTCGTGAATTTCGTTGGAAGCAACAACTTTTGGCACGCACGGACTACGACAAACTCTACAACCGTCCCAAATACTTTTCAGAGAAGCTACGCATGACAGTGGTGTGTACACGGGATGCAATTGTAAACATCGCCTCGTAGATCGATATCTTTTGTTCAAAATACCGTGCAACTGTTACCCAATCACACTCCGTTCAATAATTCAGCTACACCAATGGCTGTTTTCGGTTCGCGCGATCCGATCGTTGCTTTCGCGGCAAACGTTTCCTGGTTTCTTTTTTTCGCCTCGAACACTGTCTTGCAATTTTCGGTAATTATTTAGAAAATGAGTCAATGGATCGCATATCGCATATATGGAAATATAGTGAGCTTTGGGTTTCTACTGATGTTCAGAGGGTCATAAGGTCATAAGCACGTTTAACTACCTCCTGACTGTTCTACATCAAGGAGTATTACGAATCCCCCGAATATTCTCAGAATTATCGAGGAAGGAACGAAATCTTGACTCTCAGTAATGTTGCATGCAAAGGCATTTTCTTTTGAGTGTTTTCTATTTAGAGTTTATATTATTTCAACAACCTTATTTCGATCTTATCAAGATTAGTGTGGTGGCTCATTTGCTAAATAATCACTCAACTTTCAAACGACACTTCGCTGACTCTTATTTCCCAATTGTTTTCGGTTTTTTCTCCGAGATCGTAATTTTAGAAAACTTGTCGATCAGTATCGCGAGATGCAAGGGGTTCCGATCGGCCTCCGAACGGCTTTTGATGTCGATATGATCACAAAGTGAAGAAAAGCGCCTACGATGCAAATGACTGATCACGAACTGTGTTATATCGTCATCGCGGGGCTGGTTAATGAATGTAAATCTCTTGGAAAGCGAATATTAATGCAGATGATATCGTTCTGGGTTTCCGGGTACCAATGGTTAGCCCTTTGGAAGCGAATTTCGATATTTCGTTGGCGCTGAAAGCTTCGCCAGCCTCGATCGACTAATTAAAGTCTTTGGTATCGTAAAAATTACGTTTAAGAGTTTTTAAACACACCATATTTGTAAAAGCATCCCTTCAACAACGGTTTTGATGCTTTTCCAAACTTAAATGCCAAAATTACGCGATAAAATCGCAATTCAGTTAAGAATGTCAAAATGGCGGGAATAAGGATTCTAATTTGAAGCTAGACAGACTATTTAATGTGATTTTGTTGAAACCAAAAATATTCTAATGTAGTTTACACTGCAATGAAGACGAGTCGTCAGAAATCGCTTCCAAAATGGCGCGATTTTTACCAGAAAAGTCCTCAAAAGAATATCAATCGCGAAGGCCTCGAATAGCGGTTATTGTCGTTGCTCGCGAACAATCTTGTTAGACGCATTCATTTGTCGATCGTTCGTGGAAGATCTCGAAGTGTTTTCGTATATCTTCGACGAGTATTCCAGGGATGGGCGGAATATAATTCTGAAAGTATTCGAATACTTCGATAATTTGCTGATAGTTGAACTATTAGATTCGATAAAAGTTTATTGTAGAATTATCAACAGAGTCAGATCTAGTGCTATGTTTTTCTTAAGACCTACAGAAATTTTATAAACAATTCAATTTGTATCTAAATTTGAAAGTAAAGTTAAATCACTACTTCAAATGACGATGTATTTTTTATTCCTCGATATTCAGTCACAAAAATAGATGTAAATCCTTTAAAAATGCAAATAATACTTTGTATCATTATTACAACTCATTCTAAGAATCGAGTACACATATTCGGTATATCAGACGTATTTAAATCAGAAATTCACTCGAACGTGCCCATCCCCGGAGAAATCAACGTGTGCAGATTAGTCTCGAACTCGCATCAAACGTGACAGCATTAAACTCGCCGTCCAAACTCAGCTGATCGTCATCGATCGTATCGATCGATCGAATCTCAGCGATCCGCCGCGGAATCCGCGATCGGTGAAGAAAAAACGCGCCTCGTGTAAGATTCAATTGATCGATGGTCGGGCTGACTCGATCGACAACGACCGCCGGGAGTCGGCGAGCAGTTTAAAGTTCATGAAATTCGATTCGTTCGGTTTAGCGAGGTCGACTTATTAAACTAGATTGGGTATGTGACATACCAGCTCGACGGTGTAGAGCATCTCGCGCTGCTTGGTGAGCTCCTGCATGTACATCTGCGGCACAAAACACATCCACAGTCCACCAGTGCTCAAACTACCTCTACGCTCTGGCTAACAGTACTTCTCGCTCTCTTTTGCGCGGCTGGCTACAATCTTCCGAATCCCGTCGCGGTAATAACGTACTTCACGGTCGTAGATTGAAAAGTTACAGAGAAATTTTACTTATTCTAGTTCGCCCGAACCGTAGTCGGTCAAATTTCATTCACGAACGATACAAAATTTCAGAGTCACTCGAAAACCAACTTCCGCTCAGATTTCGTTCGTCCATTATAATACGGAAAAGGACGTTCAGTCCTCTTTGGTCAAAATGTCTTAATAGTTTCTCGTTTGGTAGAGTGTTTCGAAATGCAATTCTGTTTCACCTTTTAGGAGATATGAAATTTCCTAAGTGGTTTGTAGGACTCTAGAAATTGTCTGATTTAACTAGTTGTAACATCTGCTAAGTCGCTGACAAATGTCAATGAATCTTTTAGCAAAAATGTTTTATATCCTTTTTGGAAAGAATTAAATTCTGCATCACAAACGATAAGAAAGTAAGTGAAACCTTTTTGATGCGATTAATATTTATGAAAATACTGTTCCGTTTAAGTAATTAATATCGTTAATTAAAGTGACGTCCAGACGAATCGGAAATTTACGAATGAATCTTAAATTTTTATTCGTTATTCGCCAACAAAATTTGCCCGACTTTTCAGCTACAACGTCTAAGAGTATAAAAACGACTGGGGACTGGTCTATTTCAGCTCGAGGACAAGCTCACAGCCGAGAACATTTACTCGTTAATACGAAAACTACGTTCGTAGCCAAAGACAAGTTTACAGCGTACCACGACTAAACGAGAAGCAAACGTGTGACAAAAGTTCGGCAGAGCATGTCTATAAAAACAACTCGACAAAAATAAAAAAAAGATGAGCGATAATACGCAACAAAACAAGAGGTTCGAATAATTAAAACGCGATATCATGATCTCCTCACCGTCGTACAGCTTCGTTTTTTAATAAAAAAAACTAAGGACGCGATTTGAAATTATGTTAATAGGAAAAAGAACAGACAAAATTTATGTAACGTGGTACTACGAAGGAACAATAACGAATTTGTATCAAGATGGAAATGAAAGTAAATCGAGCTGAAATTTATGACACGGCGTAGATTAATATGAGAAACAATGAATGAAAGCGATGGAGATAATGAAACGAAAGCTAATTTCTACGGAACACACACACGCACACCGTCTAGTCTACAGCAAATGACACGATCTGAAAGGAGCCGTGATCTATGGCTGGACTCACCTGTTCTTTCAACATGACCGCCTGTTGCCGCTTCAGCTCCCGTTCCTGGGAAATCAGAATTAATTTCATTTATATCGTCGTCGTCGGAACATTGTATACGCGTCTAGTAATTCGTCGGGGTATGCAACAAAGTGAATCAAAAGGGAGCACAGAAAATAAAAGGATTTAACAAACAAAGGGAAACAAACGCGGCTCGTACGACTAAAACTCAACTTCCGAACTCTATTTCGAAATTATTTCCAGGCAAACGGTCTAGTGTCTCTTTAATTCCTTACTGCATTACGTGTCACATATTCATTATATAAGTTTCCAATTTCTGTCTGAAAAATAGTTGTCCATCCTACTATCAGCTAGAATAGGGTGAACGACTATTTTTGTATTTAAAAATGGAATAAAAAAATAATTTTTCTGCAAGTTTTAGTGGCCTGGAGAATTTATTTTATTCTTGAAAAGGATGCAGTAAGGGGCTGAGGGAAAAAGAAAACTAAAAATGATCGCTGAACAACGTTTGCCAGAATGGCGAGAACGCTCGACGTCGACTTTTATTTAAACAGCCCTGCCGGGGAGAGGGGCGGAGAATGTAAAACGGAGCTGGACAACGATCGAGCACAGAGAAACCAGGGTGCGTGTAACAACCGTTTTAGGATTACCTGTTGCTTCCGTTGTTGCTCCTCCAGTCGTATCTTCTCCACCTCTTCCTGCCGTTTTTTCCGAGCCTGCGCACAATGCCATATACACACGTCACTCGCATCCGTCAATTTTGTTATCGTGAGCAAATTTTTTACACAATCATTTTCATTTTTTCCACCTAACCATCATCGACACTAGGGAACCTCGACGCTCGACAAATTCGAAATCGTTTTCTAACGCCTCGAAGTAAACGCGCGTCGCGTGAGCATAAAATGCCCAGCTTCCGGTAACAATTCTAACTATCACTCTTTTCTTCGAACTTTCTCGCGCGAAATTTGTATTTTAAAAGGATGCAACGAGATTTATGTCGAAGCTTGGAGTTCGATACAAATTAACCTCTTCACGCCCTTGGCCACATATGTGGACGTTTAGTTTTTTTTTTTTTACAATTATAGTTACTGTCAATAATAAATAGACCAAAAAAAAGAAAAAAAAAATCGTCCCTGAAGAGGTTAACTGGCGTTCAATTTGTTATTTGAATAAAAACGTTTATAATAAATTTATGTAAGGACGAACATGTTCGGTTGTATAGTTTCTAATTCAAACGGAACCCAAATTCAACGAAATTTGAGTAAAGTTCAGCGAAATATTGAGTTTGCAATACTTTTTGAAATATTTATACTTGAATAAAAAAAAATTAGCGATAAGGGCACATTTTTTTATGTGAAGTCTACTAACTAATACATTAAACGAATTCTCAAATATTTGGAATATAATTTGAATCATGGGATAAATTGTATTACATTTTACACTTGCTTAACATTAGTATGATAAATACAATTGAAATTGATATGAATTGTGTAAGGATTGAGTATAACAGTAAATCTAAAGTTTTAGAAAAAAATGTCAACGTTTGAAACGAAAGACTCGTGAAAAGCCACGGCGCACGCAATTTATTCGGTGATTTCAATGCGTGGTAAGAACTGCTTCGCCGTACTCGAGCAATTAAAAGAACAATTACATTACAGTTTTATTAGGATTTTTTTTTGTGCTTTCCCAGTGATACGACCTTTTTAAAATACAAATTTTGCAAAGGAAAGTTTGTGGATCAAGACGATTATTTTTCATTGACCAGAGTGCAACGTACGTTTTTATTTTCACGCGATCGACACGACGCGTATTAATAATCGTAGAAACTCGTCAGGACTGATCGATCGGAGAAAGTAGAAAAAAAAAAAATATTTATAAAAGCTTCTGTGACATTGTTTTTTTTTATAGCTTTTAATACACTTTGTTCCCTAATCTTTTTTTCGATATCGTGTGGAATATGTGTGGATTTTTGTAGAATTTTCTTCTATACGATCTACGCGTCGACGCTGTAATCTCCGAACAGGCACGATATCGGTCCGTTTTGATCTACATATCCCGTTCTCACCGCGAGAAATCCGATTTCTTCGTGTTGTGATTCGAAAAGCTACGTGTAAAAAAGCAGAACGCGTCTATGTAGCAGAGTCGATGACAGGGACAAGCACTACTCTAGGATATCTAAGCCTAATTTCGCGTATCGATGAAATTTTTGCTATCTAGTTTCATTTGCTGTTATTTCGATTTTAGACCGTTCAATTAAAACGTCTGGCTATGATTCCAGATCAGTCGTCGCTCTAATTAATAATTGTGCAAGTTACTTGTTACTTCAATGAAGGGTAAAAAAAGTCAACGACGAACTAACGCCGTATCCGTGAAACTGGAACCTCTTTTTACCGACAGATCGTTAAATTGTGTTCAACGAGCGAGAAAAAAAAAGTAACATATAACTGTTGGAATTCTTCTTTGTTGTCGAATCGATATATTCGTGAAAAAGTTCGACTGGGAAATGTAACTGAGATTTTTTTTTTTGCTCGCAAATCTCGATCAACGGGAGGGTCCTGTTAACGGGCAATAGTTCGATCGAGGAAAATTTGATCGAACGACGCAACAAAGAGAAGAGTACATTCGGTTAGTCACGGTCGAGATCGTACACCACGTATAAGAATACCTTTCGCCAGGTAAATCGGGTTAGAAATGATGCCAAACGAGAAATATGTATTGTAAATATATTTACATCTATTATTAGTATAAATTCGTTTTACTGCAGACAATCTTTACGATCAAGTTTACCAATTTTATTAAGGTTCATCTTTGTGCCATTCTTGAAGTAAACTTCTGCTTGAATCGATTTTATTTGGGATTTTAATGTTTAATTCATTCTAAATATTTACTAAAAAATTTCTAGTTTTTTGGTCCTTTAAATTTCTTTAAAACTATTTAAATAGTTGTATTTAATAAACTGTAAATTACTCGTTTCAATAGCAAATGTGCACCTACAGATTATAATGAATTTTGTTTTTTCTATACTAAATAACAGACATACATTTGCAATATACAGAATGAGCCAATAAGAATTATTTAAAATATCTCGTTTTCTATTAACTTAATTAAAAAAAAAGCGATGCATATGAAATACTTTTTAATTTTTGAATGTTTTATATATTCAAAAATATCGGTCACCATATTTTTGTCATCGAGGTATAATAATTGAGGTCGAAGCACATACATACATCATTGTACGTGTTTTGAGCTCAACTATTATAAACAATAAAAAAAAGTGACCAATATTTTTTTACACATAAAAGATAAAAAAAATTAAAAAGATTCTCATATAATGGGTTCTCTCAAATGCAATGTATTTGGTAGAACAAAATATTTCAGACAGTTCTTCTCGTCTCGACTCATAATGTCGTTCCATATAATTTCTGAATGGTTTCTGTTAGGTGAAACGTATTTTTACACAGGGCGTACGGTTTTGACAGTGACTAACGGTGACATAAAAACTCGGGCCACGCGAGACTCTCGTCTCGACGCCAGTTCCCCAAAAACCACGTACAACCCCGTCGAAGTGAAATAGGCAAATCGGCATGCTACCATAAAAAACCTCGTGATAATATACATAATGTCGAGAAAACAGCAGCCAAGCAAGTGAGTATGTGGTACAAACGATCCTCCGCGTGTTCGTGGAAAACCGACGGAACCGGCGGATATCTCAACAAGAAACAGAAATTAACCAGAAGTCGTGAACGAAACCAAAAGCTTCTCACCAACTACCAGAGAGAGAGAGAGGAAGAGAGAGAAAGAGAGACAGAGTCTGTGTGAGTGAGAAAGTAGAAAGAAAGAAAGAGTAAAAGTGAGAGTGAGAGAGAGATTATATATATGAAACATATGTATATAATATATAGAGAGAGAAAGGAATATATATGTATACATAAATACGTATAAACCACCACCATTTTATTATACAGGAAAAGATGAAAGATTAATCGTAGTATTACGTATAGTATAAGAAAAGAAGCGATTAGAAGAAGAATGGAAAAGAAGCGAGAAAACGGGTAATACTGGAATAAAAAGTGAAATATAATTCAGAGAGCGCATGCAGGAGCCAAGCAAATATACTCGCCTTATGTGTGCACATAATTATTATGTCTGTGTAATATATTAATCGCTGAAGCTGATAATAGTCTTGTTAAACTGTACTGTGTTGGCAGCCTGTACAAATGTAGAATTCTTAATAGCGGTTGGTAATGTGATCGTGTTAGTATTAGGTATAATAATAATAATCGTAACAATAATAGAGCCATAATAATAAATAGAGCGTAAGATTAATCGAGTTAATCGACGTTGCGTGATTCGCGCGTTTCCTCGAGTTTGACAGAATAGAACGAGAAAAAAAAAAAATAAAATAAAAGAGCATCGAAAGGAAAAAAAAATAGTAAGCATCGTGTGCTCGGTCAGCGGTACTCGATAATCGACAGAACACGTAAAAATTCGAAAAAAATACTGGCATGCTGGATAATCATGTAGCTAGCTGTTATTCTTGTATAGTGACAGGAGAAGCACAGGATAGCGTTACGACAGTCGGTATTATATTGTATTTATTGTCGTAGATTCGCAGATATTGTATTACAAATATTCATCGTGCCTATGTGTGTATTGTGTCAGCCTCGAAATCGCAACAAAGTCGGACGCCGACGCACGTATCTCGCGAAACTTTCTTCGTGAAATCGAGAAAGTTCGGAGACCGGGCCCTCGATCCAAATCGAGACTCGTTTTCGAAACGCAAACACCGAGCTCTCGTAATCCCCGAATTAGATCATTTGATCGTTCGATACGTTCGATACGTTCGATCCGTCAATGCGAATTCGTTCCGCTTTGCCCGACCACGTTTGAATATTTCAAAACGTATAACTCTGTTATTTTGTCTCCCCACCCCCTTTTACTGGAATTTCAACGCGATCCTCGTTAGAATAAATAACCTCGCGCGTCAATGTGTATTGAATTTTGTTCGCCAAATATCTCCATTACCTTTGGCCACGGTGACAAACGCAAAGCAAAGGATCCGTTTGTTTTTTAATAACTTTGTAACTTTGTGGAAAGAAGTCTCTCGGAAGTTTCTTGAACTTTGAACAATTTTTTAACTAAGAATTTTTAAAATGATCCAGGAAAAATTTCTATACTTCTTCTCACCAAGTTAGAATAGTTTTTACTACTACAACTATGATAAACTCGAGTTACAACTTATTAACACACGAAATATTATTAGTCCATTTTACTTACAAATTTTACAAATCGAACTTGGAATATGCCCCAAAAATTCCGCTAGAATTATTACATTTTTCTCAAGATTACTTATTCCTAAAGTTCGTTGTTAATCACGAGAATGTCAAATCGAAGCGTTTGAGAGAGAACCTTGAGAAAAATTCCACGTAAAAAGATATTGCTTCGAACGAGCATTTTCGAAAATGTGGTCAAAGCGAACGGGGCCGGGCTGGATGTTGGAACAGCAAATTCAGTTTCGTTTTACAGGGTTTATTGCGTTTCGAAAGAGAAACAGTCTCAATTTGGCGCGCGCCAGGGACGTCGATACGGTATCACTCACAGTGTCTGACCCTACGAAAGCACCGTGTGTGCGTCTAGATATGCATGGCTGGTGTGTCTCTGTGTGTATATGTGTGTGTTGTGTGTGTGTAAGTGTGATGTGTGTCCTCTTTCGTTCGATCGCTAGGTGATGCACTGGCATTAACGTGGCAGACTACTGGTGCTCCGGTGTCTCGCGTTCCGTTCGTAGTTCGGTCGATCGCATTTTTGCGTCGCTGTACCGTTGGAGAGTTTCGACTGAAGGGTGGAACCAGGTTTCCAGGGAAAAGTTTCGCGAATCGACGAATCTTCGAAACGATAGTTTTCGCGCGGACGAAAGGTTCGGACGAAATTTTTGTGCAACGAAACGTGGGACGATAAAAATGACCGAGGAAATCCGTTTCGGGGGTTGCCCCGTTCGGAATTGCAGACGCTACGAGGAAGAAACGATAGATAAGCGTAGAAATACCTGATGATGTAAATCGTTGGTAACTCGCGAGGATAAAAAAATAAAAAAAAAAGGAGAAAGAATCGTAGATGCTTCGAGGGAGACGCGTACGATTGAGAAATGAAGTAAAAGTGATCGGCGATCGATATTCAGAGGTGACTGTGATAATGACGATGTATTCGATAATCGACAACAAAACAATGTTATATGGTCACATATACATGAAACTGACATGAGATACGTCTAGGGGAAAAAAAAAAAAACGAGTAATATCTTACCTCTGGTTGTCACAGTGAAACTTATTCTATCGATGAGGGTGAAATGAGCGAAGGAGAATGTCCGGGGGTCGGGATGGACCGAGGGGGTTCTGTGGGTGTTTTGATCACAAAATGGGAGGACAACATAGAAAACCAGGCAATCGTAGTCTTACCTCGGGAGGTCCTTCGTGTCAGTCCTCGTGAAATCAGAAGAAAAAAAGGCGGGGAGAGGAACAGCGTGAACCAACGAATCACAAGGACGACAGTAACATTCATTAGTGAACATGAAGTCGATGAGGGGTTTAATGACGATGTGGGTGGGGGGTTGCAGTTCGCGAGTTACGGGGGTAGTGGATTGACTGTGGAGGCAAAGGTGAGACGGTAAATTCCTCGAAAGCAATTCGTCGAGAGAGCAACCAATGGACAAAGGATTCGTAGATAGAACGGTGTCGCTCGAGATGTCGAAGGTAATCTTCGAAATCGGACATTCTTCGGCCGATGCTTTTTCGTAGAGTACTTTTGCGCTAGATGGTGATCTCATGTTCTAAGAAATAAACACGTTCTTTTTCTTTTCACTCAGCACTCTATAACATCTCCATTGCTTTCATCTCTAGGAAAAGGTTATTTTTTGTTTCTAATGACGGAGATCGTGACGCATAACTTTAGCTCCGAGAGATCACTTTTACGAAAGTTTTGAGTCGATTATGAAGATACAATTTTATTATGACTATTTGAATTATTAAAAGTATTGTCTTGAAGACCAAAAGATATTTTATTTATGGATTCTACTGTATGAAGTATTCAAAGAACAAAGAAAGCAAAGAAGTTTCATGCAATAGTTACTGACTGTTATACCAGTTTTCTCTAAGATATCCTCAACGTTTTTTCAAATTATAGCGTAACAATTAGATTCAACAATTCAATAGAAGTACTTGCTGTTTTATGGTATTCCTAGTGTCTAAGAGCGAGTCTAAGTTGGTGGTTTTGATAATTAAATTTTGAAGTATAATCATCCCAACTAAGAATCTATATTCACAGAAACGATATTACTCCTTTTACAAAGTTCAGAACGATCGAAAGAGTCAGGTCAAATCTCAGCTTACTGCTCAGCAGACTCGATAAAACCGTCCACGCACCTGGCGCAAAGTACCCTCGAAAACCAGTTGGTTAACGCGTCGGACACCGTGCTCCACGAATCCTCTCCGTCGAGAGCAGTGTCGAAACCACTCCGAAAGGAAGACGACAATCGTAGAAGAATCAGGTCACTGCTCTGACCCAAGTAGCTCTGGCTCGCGAGGTCAGAACGCGCGTGGGGATGGAGAGTTCGAGGGTAATAATATTTTTTTTTTGGGGGGTTTGGGGGGGAGGCGTCATACGACATCTTACCTCCAGAAGCTCCTGACTTTGCGTCTGGGTCTGGGCCTGCTGGGTATTGTCCATGCTGGCGTTGGTGGTGGTGGTGGTGCCTGTGGACGCGGTGCTGGAGATTGGCGTGACGGGCTGCGTGGTGGGTTGGGTCTGCAACGGTGCTGTAGACGCGACCGTCGTGCAGGTGGTCGGCAATGGAAGTGGCGGCGGCGGTGGCGGCGGCGGCGGTACCACCTGCACCGACGGCGGCGCAACCACGACCGCCGGCAACGTGGTGGTCGTGTTCGTGGTGCAGGCTGTGCTGAGCACCGCGCTGGTCGCCAGCGACGTGACCGACGCCAGGCTCGTAGATGATGAGGAGAGGCAGGACTTTTTCGCTACCGCGTCCTCCGGGTCGGTGTGTTGCAGCATGTCGCGGTTCCTCCAGCTCTCGGCGATGCTCTCACGATTCTTCCAGATGGTGGCCACAGTGCTGCTAGCCAGACCCAGCTCGCGCGCCACGTCGCTCTTGCTCTTACCGCGTTCGATCTCTTGGATGATCTTCATTTTCTGCTTGATCGTGAACGCTAGCCGCTTTCGACCCTGCGTTTGTAGGTTTAGGGATGCCCAATAATCGATCGTGTTAATCGACGGTTCGTTACGTGTCGGGTCGCGTGCGAGTGATACCGGTCGTTCTTTTCGGTAGCCTGTCCTTTGTTCGAGGACGTTTGCGAATTGTTTAGAGCTCGGGTGAGTAGTAGTAGTAGGTGGTGGTGGTGGTGGTGGTGGTGGTTGGGTTCGTAGCGTGGTCTCTCTGTGAAGAGGATAGGCTGAGCCTTTTTCAAGCTTCGCAACGAACTGAAAGTTGCAAGAGAACAAACTAAGGGGCTCAAGCTGCGAGAGGAGGAGAGTTCGTTCGTAACGTTTGCGCGAGTCGGGACAGTATCAGAGTCAACGAACTCTCCGTTAAACGAATTCGTTCGAGGATTCAGGGTGGACGTAGCAATGTCTTGTTCACGGATCGTTAAGGTTGTACTAGGATCGATTATCAGTGAAATGGGCATCCCTACGCGTACCAGGCGGCTAACCAAAATACATCTAAGATTTGAACGATTTTCCGTTCCTTAGCGACGTTCTTTCCCTCTTAACGTCTCGTTCCGTGAGGCCTGTGTTGCGTGTATGTTTTTTTTCAAGGGAGTCTGGGCACACGTGTGATGTTACAAGTGCATGTGAGAAGGTGGATGCAAGTGAATACGAGGGGATGAATGAACGAACGAGTGTGACAGTGATTGAAAAGAGGGCTTGGCTGTTGGGACGGTGTGTCTCTCGCATCGAGGATCCCGATCGGGCACTTTGGAGAACCATCACAATGGAGATATGGGACTGTTAAAAGTTTTCTACGCTCGCGCATCTACTTCGCCGGGTTCCCAGCCACGGCGTCGGAAAAATTCTCGCGCGTTTTTACGAGATCGTGAAATTGATTTCTCGCGCGACGAATTTCCCTTTCGCGGCGCTCGACGAAGGGGAAAAACTTCGTTCCGGCGTTACAACGACTACGACCACCGGGGCGAGAAGTTTTCCGCGCTGGGCGCGTGTTCCTTTCGCGCTTTCGAGACCGTGTACTCCGATTCGTTCGCTGCTAGATCCGGGCACAATAATCACCGTCAACTTCCACTGGAACGTATTTACTCGATCGAAAATTCCAGAAACAAACTCTTGAACGTTCTGAACATTTTTCTAACTTTTTCGACTCTTCGAGATTCGCTGCTTCTACGTTAATTTCAAACATTTACAGGCCATCTTCGATTGCAATGCAATCGATATTGTTCGAAATCATATCCTCGTAAAAACACAAAATAACAGATATTTTTCTTTTTTTTTATTTCTGACTGTTTCGTACCCGACTCTCAATAACCGCGTTTTAAATTCTTTGCCTAAGTTCTTCGTACCAAGTCACATCGAGTTAACTTTTTCTTTTAAAGTTCTCCGCAAAGTGTAATATTGTTTTCTAACTCTAAAACGGAGCAAACTTTGTCTAACATTCCAAACCAAATAAGTACTAAATATCAACAAGTAGGAAAGCCTGCTGTTAAAAGAACATTCATAAATATTATTCAAACGTCGAATAATACCTGTTGCGTTGAATTTTCCCAAGGAATTAAATTTCCATAATACTGATTACACGCCTGAAGATGACCCCGTAAATGGTAGAAAACGTTCGTACGAGTGAAACGTGGAAGTAGTCGTGCATCATCGATCAAAAACGTTAGAAGAATTGAATGCTTCGTTAGTTCGTGTTTAAAGAGAAGAGGGATATTAACGACGTCTGGATAAATCGGAGGACACGCGAGTCAAAAGCAGATTTCTGAAAATGCCAAGGAGCACACGAGGTACTCGTTGTGCCGTTCGAAGAGCAAAGGAATATGTAATCTCGTTCTAATTGGTCGAGTATCTAACTTCTCACACGATCATTCGCCTTTATCTATGGAACTACGTGAGGAGAATATGCCACGGCAAAACCGATACTCTGAGACTTGTCTACAGCGCACATACAAAAAGCGTCGGGAGCTATGCATCGAGTTCACACGACTATACAGACTTCGAGCAACAAATTTCGTCGTTAACGACCACTAGTTTCGGTGAGAACCTCGAGGCTACACTGTGACGTCGATGTCCAGAAACTCGAGAACAATATCATCCTTCGATACCAGTAGCTTTCTAGCGAAACACGAATCTTTTCTGCTTTCGATTCGGCGAAATTTCTGTGATAAATAAACGCAATTGCAGTACTGTCTCTCTTCTTGCGAATCGGATCGGGACCGTCAGATATCTTCTACAGTGATTTGGTAGAGAATTTGGCCACGGAATTGAATCGATTGTGATAGGACATCGACGTCGTTGCGGCCTCCAATTTCTCAACAATCTTTTCCTCACTCTTTCTCTATGGAAGCCGCACGGATCGTCCGGTCGGTTCGAGAAACCCAAAAATCCTCGGGTCCTCGCTCGGCCGCGTCGACTCTCGCCGAGTGGAGGACCCGGAAGCGAGATGCAGCCACATAGGATCTCCGTTAAACGACTAAAAACGTTCGACTCACTGAGGGTAGAACGAAAAGAACGTATTGGAGAACAAAATAAAAGAAAAAAAAAAATATTAGGGCTGGATGTGACGAGGGGGTCGGGGCTTGGGGGGGGGGTGTTGTCAGTCGGATAAAGAGATTTTGGGAGGACATGCTGGGTTCTCCTGTCACTATTGCTAGCGATTCTTGGTTGACTATGGGGGTACGGGTGGTTATAGTGTGTCCTGGGACGTTTTGGTATCGGTTTACGGATCGTAATACGGAGTTAAAGGGTTCACATATGCGAGTATACAAAAAGTATCTGGTTACAACAATATCCACTGGAGGAATATATATATAATGTACAAATAGATTTATATATATATGTATATATAATATACGTATATAGATATAAATGATATATATATGTATATATAATATAAATACGACACACACAGAGAGCATGCGACACGCACGACAGGTGGACAAAATACAAAAAACGTAGTAGGTATCCCAAATAGAGTAAGAGAACAGATTCCTTGTGAATGAAACAACGAGAATCGAGACAAAACGTGAAAAGGAAGACACGATTGCAAGAGCGTTAACTTACCTCGAGTAGCTGCTGATTTCGGATCTCTCGTTCCCGCCTCACTGCCTCCTGCCGTTCCGATTTCTCTTGCTCCTTGATCAGCCTGCAAAGGAGAACAGGACTTAGTCGTTCGACTCTCTGATAGGGCAAAATTAACTGGTCGCCGAAGGACCGTTCGTTTTAACTGTGTCACTCGTTTCAACCTCGAAGTAGAAGATATTGGTTACCATAGCTCTCAAAACAAATTTTACATGTAAGAAGTTACGCGTCAGTCAAGTGCTCTGACACTAAATTTTAAAAAGTTCAAAGAGTGTAATCGAGTCCCCTAGTAAGGCGAATTTTGAGAAACACTGCATAGGTTTCGTTTTAACCGTCTTCTGAACCACACATAATCGTTTGGCGGACTTTAGCCCACCTGGCTTGTTCCTTGTGTCGCTGAGCTTCCTCCTTGGCCAGTTTCTTCGCGTACGCGAGCTTCTCCCTCTCGTACTGATTGTTTGTCCGCACGTCCCTGAAACCACCCGCGGCTCTGAGCTCCTCCAACCTTCTGGCCACTTCTTGAGCGCCCAACCTAACGAATTCCGCCTCCGCCAGACCCATTGTCGGCTGCAGGAACTCGCCTATCAGGGGACGAGACGAGAACGAGAAGTTCGCTGTCGTCAGCTCTGCCGGATTCTGTTGCTCCAAGAACTGGAAAACGGTGTTTGGAATTTCGCACGTTAAGAAATCGCGTCGACGGACACGACCAAGGTATTTTAAAGGTTTCGATCGTTCAACTTTGACAAGACGAATAAAGACACGTTCCAATAACGCGGACCAACCTTTGCCAAGTCTGGACTGCTCCTGAAGGTCTTTCCGCAAGGACTATAATAAGACACGTCACCCTTTATCACTCCCGACTTTCCTAGACCCTTGATAACCGTTTCCCGTTTCCAACCACGCTCCAACGGGACCTGGAGATCCCTCTCGCTGGGCTTGACCTTTCTTCTCTTCGCGCTGGACACACCGTCCATGTTGTCGTCGTCGGTGTCCGTCACTACGTCGGTGTTGCTGCCGCTCTCGCTGGTCACGTCCATGTTGCTCTCCTCGCCAGACACCTCCAGCAGCTTGTTCTTCATCTTCTCCTGTAAAGACCGCTATATAGGGAGCATGGTTTTAGTGCGAAATCATAAGTGAAAAAAAACAAAACGATCGGTTCCCTCTTTCGAGTCGTCAGCCTTCTTCTTGCTTGGCTTCTCGCTGGTTCGAGAAATCAATGAACTTTTAACGCTAAACCTACCGCGATAAATAGTTTACTTAATTGAAAATTAATTTAAATACAGGATGTTTGCGTACTAGACAGCACTTTTTCTTAAACAGTTGTTTTCTCTAGAACTACGGTATCGACTTGGAACAGAATTCGTTTTTAAGAGTGTTTTGTCTTCTATCCGATGAAAATTGAACAATTTTTTAATATAAAAGAGAAGGATATCGTACGAATAAACATTAAAACACAACTTTCTATATATATAATACAAAAATTAGAAGTACGTTGCCTCGTAAAAGAGAAAAAGGAAGACTGGTCATTTCACCGGTCATAGTAGATATGACTATACATGAAGTGCCGGTAGGTTTAGCGTTAAATCAGCAAATAAAAGAAACCGAACAAAAATTCATTTTATTTGCCTCGTGGTCGATAAATAATAATAATGGCGTTCGATGAAGACGTGGAGTTAATATATGGAGGTCGAAAAACAGACAGGTCATTAAAATGATACCAAATAACCAATACCAAATGATAAATGTCGATGGAAAAGAATGTTGAAGAAACAGTGACAAGTAGATTCGTGAGGAAGGACTTTACCTGACTCTTGTCGTCGGTCGTGGTGGCGTGCAGCTGAGCAGCCAGAATGTTCGACCTGAGCAACGAGACTTGGTGAGACAATGGCACGCTAGGATCCAAGGTAGGCGTAGGCTTGATGCCCAGGGCTCTGCTTTGAGCTAGGAGCGAGGCTACGGTGTTCTTCTTCGGCTTGGACACGCCGCGACCCAGATTCCTCGGTCGACCATCTTTGTGGTGAGTCGTGCTGGCGCTCTCACTTTCCTCGCTTCCGCTGCTCGGCCGCTGCGGCGAATCCGCAGCTGCGAAGAGCTGCGCCAGCGATGGACTAGGCGACGCTGGCACCGGGACCGAGTTCTGAGGCACCCTTCGAGGCTTTGGACCTGGCTTTCGTCTCGCTGTATAGTCCAGAATCAAATCGTTCGATATAAAAAAAAACAGTAGCAACATGGATCATCTGCTACAATCGCTACATCCATTAGGAGGATCATCCGTGACCTTACTTTTTCATTTGAGAATTTTTGAATATTCTGACAAGACTGACATGTGTTATTCGTTATTGATTTAGACTAGATCAGCCAGAAAAATTGAATTTTGATGTAATTAGGACAAATATCAATTCATCTTCTTTTACGTTGGTATCAATCTGCTTCGTTGAAATAGAGAATATACTAGACTTCGTACAAAGTAGCCTCGTTCAGACTCAATCTTTTATAGTCGAATCAACCGAGTTTTACATAACCAAGTGTTCAAACTTTCTCGAGACGCGCAATACGATCGAGAGTCGATTCCTGAGTGTACTTACATGTTCGATCGGAGGCGAGTAACGACTGGCTTAAATTACTGAGCTGACTGAGTGGCTGACTACTAGAAATTGGCGAGCTACTGCTCGTCGTCGCAGGTTTCAGAGAGAGGTTCAGCGGCGCGTCCGAATCGTTCGAACTGTTCGCGTTGGTAGTGGTTGTGTACGACGTGGGCGCCGACAGAACGGAACCGTTGGTCGAATGAGCTGGCAATTTGATCACTTCCACGCGATCCACCGGCTCTCTATAGTCGTTCGACTCGGTCTGAAACACAATCGAAGAGTTCCTTTGCTTCTTGGTCGACCATTTAGGGCTACCTAAATCGTCCAGAGATTCCTTTTCAACCGTAGCTCTGCACCTTTTTTCTGATAGCTATGGTGTTTTGTATTGTTATAAATATTGCACAGCATGCGTCAGAAGCAAAATAATTAATCGTAGCTGACATGCTGACCCGATCTAAGCGATTCTGAGGAGAAAATAATTACCCCTGTGCGGTTGTACTTTCTCGGTTCCATCATCAATGACGTTGTCGTCGTGTTTGTCTGATGAGCGCTAAGAGCAGGAACCGGCGGCGGGTGCACGCTTACGCTCGGCGTGTCCAAGGATATCGTCTTCTTCCTGCCGCGGTTCGTCGTGCCAGGTACCTTCGGACCGACTATGCTCGACGTGTACTTGATGATCTCTGTGTCGGGAGGCAGCCGCACACCTCCCAATATACTGCTAGGGTCGCTGAATAAAACGAAACAAAATTCGTTCAACGCCACCATTTTACCTGGACTTACTTATTCTAGGCTCGCTGGGTCAGACACTTTCACGAACTTATCTTTAACCCTTTCAGGGCACCAATCTTCTAGAAAACAGTGTGATACTCGAGATGCAATTAACAAGAACAACTTCACAAATTCTATTTAGAAAAATCAAATTCGATCGAATCGATGTTCTCGAAAACAAAATCTATTCGAAGAATCCAGTCGATTGGCGTCAGCAAAGTGTCGACCATAACAATATATTTAGTTTTTCAACCCCTTCGCCGCGGTATTAAATTTTACGAAACGAGCTACCAGTTAAAAGACAAATCGTCCAAAGCAGCGTAACGCTCAAGGGCCATCAAACAATCATAACAACGGAATTACGCGGTTACGAGCATCGTATGAAAGTTAAATGACCGACGCACAGGGAGAAAGCGGGCAACGCGGAATTTACGACAGAATTTGTTGAATGGAGCAACAAAAAACGGGAAAAAGAAGAGTCGAGATAATACGAGCGTTTCGTTTGTTTTGTTGTATTCATATTTTTCACCCCTCTTTATTCCCTCGTTCTTAACGATCTCTCACCTGCCTTCCTTCGCAGAACTGTGGGTGTGTATCGGCAAGCGTGGAAAAATAATTAATGGGAATCGTAAGTGTGCCGCGGTCTGTTAAAAATAATGGAGACGAGAAAGAGTAATCGATTTAACGAGCAGAAGCGTACTCGTACCTGACGACGTTCGTTTGCGAATTTGGCGTGCTGCTGGCCGAGGTATTATGATGGGAGGACGTGATCGGTGCTTGCGTCGACACCGGCAAACTGCTGCTCGTCATGCTAGGCGTCGTCGAGCTGCTGCTGTTGGCTGGCGTCTTGTGACTCTTGCTTGACTTAGCTGTGGTTTTCCGACAGTAAACTTCAGCGATTTTTTATTCAAGAAACAGAAACGAACTTTTACACGCGCGTGATCGGCTAAGAAAATCGTGGCAAATACTTTCCAAGCCCCCGACATCGTTTTTGCAAACTTAATAAACTTAGGGGGAGGCTGTACTTTAGAAAATCAGGCTAAAGAAACGTGGATAGTCCCAACATATTTTCATTCGATATGTAATAAATATTCGACGGAAATTATTGTATAAATATTGTAAATACTTTATGCATATTTATAGAATAAGGTCTACAATTTCTGTTTTAATAATTCACGTTAGAGTTGATCATTCTGTTCTCTTGTAATGTACGAGTAGGACCAGTGATCCTCAAAGAGAACTCCGTAGCAGGGCTATAGACTATTTTTTGAATGAATCAGTCTCGTGCGAGGCTATTTACCGCGTAATGTTATTTTGACCAACCATGGAGAGGTTGCAGGGACAGATAGTGTTCAGAAGTGGAGCAAAAATGGTTGCTGGACGATTCTGTTAACCGAGTTGCGCGCGCGACGAGCCCGCATGGAGAAAGAAGATGCACTGAATTTTATGATACTTACACTTACTGGACTTGTGTGACGAAAGGGACGGGGGATTAAGTAGAGAGGCCGGATAGGGTGGCAGAAGACTCTCAGCACCGGGCGGAAATCCGGGGAGTCCCGCCGCCCCTTGTAACCTCGCGAGGTAGTCGTGTGCCGCCAGGTGCGAGGCCATCGTCCACCATGCTGCACTCGCAGGATTGATACCTGAAGCCATTCATCGCCATTTTGTTAGCTTTCAGCTCGACAAACATCACCGATCAGATAAACAGTTTCTTTCGTATTTCGATATAAAACCACATTATCCCTTCACTAGATGCAGTAATAAACCATTAAAAATAACTTACTATCGCTTATGGGTTCATCTTTTCATACAAACATTATCGTCTCTGGGATATGACAATTTTGGATATACTTAGATTTAGACGTCAAAATTTGAGTAAACTTTTCATGTTTCTTTTTCTACAAAACTAATTATTTAACAAAAAGGACTGATAAATTAGTAACGTTGTTTAATCTAGCTTTAGCTATGCTTCAGAAGGTATACACACAATTGCAATTTGAACTGTTGTTTGTTAACTAAATTCTTTAAATAAAATAATTTCTGTCATCTTCCTTTTTTTTGCTCACTTCCACGTTCTATGTTTCTGCAAGAATAATTCATATACCATTACGAATACAAGGGTGCAAGGTTCTGAAACGTCCCGATATGATTCGAATTTTAATTTCTGTCATCCATTAACTAAATTCTTTAAGTAACATAATTTTTGTCATCTTCCTTTTTTTCGCTCACTTCCACATTCTATGTTTCTGCAAGAATAATTCATGTACCATTACGAATACAAAGGTTCAAGGTTCTGAAACGTCCTGATATGATTCGAATTTTAACTTTTATTTGATCTGTAAACAATGAAAGGTTGGATTATGGTAAAGAATGAGAAAAGATGGCGTTACCTAAACTCGCAGCTTGACTGGCGGCCACGCTCAGGGTACCAAGACTGCTGTGGGAGTAGGGGGGTGGTGGTGGTGCAGAGGCCGGTGTGTGGCTCCCAAAACCGGGAGCAGAGCCACCTCGGCCCAGGATGGCGTAAGCCGATGGCAAATGATGGGCCCCCAACCCATATCCACCAGGCATCCCACCGAAAAGCGACGAAGCTGCACTGTCGCCCCGAGGCCAATACGCTGCAATCAAAAGCAAAACGACCGTGTTCAATTGTCCGTCCGTGTCATGGAACCGGGCGGCGTTTCTGTTTCGCCTCGAAAATAAACTTTGGTAGCCGCGTTGCACCTGTCTCGTGGCAGCAACACGGCATCCGAATTCATATTCATACGCGGTTAATAAAGTAGCTACTGATCGCGATCTCACGGCCGCTATCAATTACAAAAGTAGCTCATTAATTTTTTGCATTTAAGAAGGTAGCAACCGGTGATTCTGCCGTTTTATGCGTCCGACCGTGAAAGATTTATTAGTTTCTTCCGTGCTCAAGGTGACGTTTATGGTTGCTTAAGGGCCACGCGTGCCCAGAAAACCGAGAGCCCAAATTGCCGATTCGAATTTCGATAACGTGTTGTTCAACTGGTCCGAAGACGAGTTTCATTTTGCGTGAAAAAAAACACGGAAGTAAACGATCGATAAGGGAAGATCGACGTTAGTGGGAAATCTTAGGGAAAAGTATTATTAATAAATAAACGCGGATACCACATTTGAGAATCCTTTTGCTCAAATTGGACAATTTGCTTCCGCGAATAACAAATCATTTTTATAGCGTAATTAAACCAATTCTGCTTCGAAAAGAAGCAGAAGTTTAATTGCAACCTTCGTGCGTAATTTTTCAATGGAGGAAAGTTGATGTACGTTCGTTTCAGTAGGAGCTGTAATAAGGTAACCTTATTAATGTAAATGTAGACAATTATCTAAATACTTGCAAATATTGCATGTGAAAATTCTTTTTGAATCGAACAATTCGTTTTCATAAATTGCACTCGTGAGTAATAAATCACTTTGAATGTGTAATTAAACCGAATCTGGTACTTTTCGAAGCAGAACTTTAATTACAACCTTCGTATGTAGGTTTTCAATAGAGGAACTGTTCGGTAGAAAGGAGTGCAAAATATAACGAAGAAACGTTGCTAATAATGTTTAATATACGCTATTTTTTCGGATATTTATAAATATTGCATTTGAAAATCGTTTGCTTAAATTCTACCGCTTATTCTCCTAAATTGCATTTATAAAAGATAAATTATTTCAAATGTGTAATTAAACCAAATCTTGTTCTTTCTGAAGCAATATTTTAAATATAATGTTTCGGAAATAAAATCGCAGGAATAGAAATTGGGTTAAAAAATCACGCGTTCGGATCAAGTGACGTGTTCTCGTGATTATCGTAATTATCGGTATCCGATGCGATGAAAAATGAAGTCAATGCGTAACAAATTATAGTCTCGTAATAACTGCAATTATTTTACTAGTGGCGTCGTCAAAGCTGTAGTTTTCATAATGCAAGGAAAACACGGTGATTTGTTTAACGACCGACGTAATACCGGTATCTCAAATATTATTTATTTTATTTTACCGTGATCCCAGCAATGTATCAATCGTTAAAAAGATCACCGTTTTTCCCTTGTATTGTAACCTTAAAATTTTTCTTTTAATTAGAATATGTATTCATGCCATTGCATCAAACAAATTCAACATAAGTTGTTAAAAAATAATATTTACGCGTTCTGCAATTTTAAATATGGAATCTGTATATGTAAATCTAGTGTTAATAAGATTCATTATTACAAGTTATTTTTCATCTTTAAATATGATAACTACGACAATGACGAGGCAAATCTCAAACTGTATTTATTATTAAACGATAAAAAATGACTTCTGTCGTCTGGACGAGTCTACTTTTAGAGATTCCAATTCCGCCAATTTTCTCGACACCGCCAAGTGTATAAGTGACAAAATGGCGATTGCAAATTTAGAAAAGTAGGTACATTTTTATCTTCAACGGATCATTTATTATTTGGATACCATTATTAACGTCGTGAATAATTGCACGATCCATCGATCGAGTTCGTACAGAGTTATAACAGTTCGAATCGCAATGGAAGAATCGTTTCGCCTTGGACGCAGTCCGAAGCTTCGAAAATAATCGATAAATTAATTCCACCCGCGCGATAGATCAGCATTGTTGAATATTGTTTGCCACGAAGCAGAGGATCGTCTTTCCTACGTTCGAATCCTCTCATTACCAGCGCGTTTCCGCCAACATTGTCGAGCACGCTGATTCGTCCCGGTTTACCGGACTCGTGTTACGCGAACTCCCGCCGGCGATTCGTGTTAATTAACCAATTATCCAGGAGCGTCATACGCAATTGATTTACCCGATAGAATTAAATAACAGGGTGGACTCGCTAGAAACAAAACACCCTAATATCGTAGCAAATTTTAAGTAATAGGGAGGACGCGTTGGCAACGAAACTGCGTGTAAACCAGTCAAAATGACCCATTCGTAATTTCTAACAAAACTTGTACAAAATTTACTCGACCGAATTTTTGAAAATTTATCGTAATTTTCTATAAGAGAATATATGAACACTTATTTCAATTTCTTTGGTACAAATAAACACACTATAATTGTGGGTAGTTCTAGTTTTAAAAGACACGTAACACGTTACCAACAGTTCAATTTCGTTTCTTTAAATTGCAATTACCAGAGGAAGGGTTCAAATAGTATTCTCAAAGAAAAATTAATCTCGAATTTTCAGGGATTCGCTCGATCTTGAATACGAACTTAGGCAATAAAGAAGTTTGAAATCGTCGTCAGTATTTTTCTCGAAGAATAATGTTAAATATGAGTTAGTTTTTGGGGATCGAAATTAGGTATGCGTTCCCCATTAAAGTCGCTCGACTCTCGCCCAAATCGTTTTCGTTAATTAAGAGTATCAGGAGCGACGGTTACCCTACCGAGGCAGGCAATAATTAAAATATTAAGTTGCATCGACAATAATAATAATAATTAAGCCCGGCGGTGGGGTTGGCCGAACCGGAAGCACGGTAAATTGCAGAAGCTGAGAACTCGTTATGGTAATGTCGTTCGCGCGGGCGTTAGCGCGAGCGAACGAGCAAAAATGCCGAACGCGACGGCTCTCGATGCTTTCTAATTTTCATAAACAGTCAGCAATTTTCATTAACCTCTGCACCGTGTCGATTAACAATCGGTTACGCGTCGCGAACCTCGTTGCGTAATTCTTACTCGATCGTCTTATCGCTGATTACCCTATACATACGTCATCCATTACGCGTTCTAGCCTGAAATAATAGGCGCCCGGTAATGCTCTGACTTGGCACGAACGCGTCACGGAACGAATGGTCAGTGACCCACTGTTTGCACGCTAGTTAAAAATATTGGAAAGTGTAACGTGTCGATCATCGTTCCTCGACAAATTGCAAAGATTCTATTCTTCCCATTCGAACGAAAATAGGAAATAATAGGGGACGAAATTATTTGATTCTGGTTTGGAAATGTACAAGCCACGATTTGTGTAATCCAAGATCAGTGGATTAAAACTTCCATATGTTGATACAATTTTTTTTTTTTAATTTGTTACTTGGAGTTTTTATCGTATTGGAATTTTATATAGGTTTTTATGATTTTTTTAAAGCATTGAAGATTATAACAAATTTAGTACCGAAAGTTTTGGAAGTTTTATTGAATCGATACGAAGTTGTAACAGAGTTCATTGAAGTTATATGCAATCGGATTAATATTTGTCAAATTCTCCAAGTTCAGTGGATTAAAGCTTGCATATGTTAATACAATTTTTTTTTTTTAATTTGTTACTTGGAATTTTTATCGTATTAGAATTTTAAATGGGTTTGTATGATTTTTTTAAAGCATTGAAGATTATAACAAATTTAGTATCGAAAGTTTTGGAAGTTTTATTGAATCGATACGAAGTTGTAACAGAGTTCATTGAAGTTATATGCAATCGGATTAATATTTGTCAAATTCTCCAAGTTCAGTGGATTAAAGCTTGCATATGTTAATACAATTTTTTTTTTTTAATTTGTTACTTGGAATTTTTATCGTATTAGAATTTTAAATGGGTTTGTATGATTTTTTTAAAGCATTGAAGATTATAACAAATTTAGTATCGAAAGTTTTGGAAGTTTTATTGAATCGATACGAAGTTGTAACAGAGTTCATTGAAGTTATATGCAATCGGATTAATATTTGTCAAATTCTCCAAGTTCAGTGGATTAAAGCTTGCATATGTTAATACAATTTTTTTTTTTTTAATTTGTTACTTGGAATTTTTATCGTATTAGAATTTTAAATGGGTTTGTATGATTTTTTTAAAGCATTGAAGATTATAACAAATTTAGTATCGAAAGTTTTGGAAGTTTTATTGAATCGATACGAAGTGGTAACAGAGTTCATTCAAGTTACATGAAATCGAATTAATATTTGTCAAATTCTCCAAGTTCAGTGGATTAAAGCTTCCATATGTTAATACAATTTTCTTTTTTTTTAATTCGTTACTTCCGAGTTTTTATTGTATTAGAATTTTATATGGGTTTTTATGATTTTTTTAACTCATTGCAGATTATAAAATTACAAATTTAATACCGAAAGTTTTGGAAGTTTGATTGAATCGATACGAAGTGGTAACAGAGTTCATTCAAGTTACATGCAATCGGATTAATATTTGTCAAATTTGCATATGTTAATATCATTTTTTTTTTAACCCATTATAAGCCAGTGTCCTATTTATTTTATTTTTTTTCAACCCTTAAAATTGGTTCAAATTAAATGAAAAATTTACCACATATATTTCAGGGTGTATTAAACTAAATTATAATTATTGTTGTATACCAATATTCTTTTAATAAAAAAATTATAAACTTTGCATAAATTTTCTCACTTTGTCTCGAATTATATACTCAATCATAAAAATTCCATATCGTCACTTTTTTTATCTTCTAATGTGTTATTCCTATTGAGGAATGATTACTCAGGATTGTTGTAAACTTTGTTTATTTATTTTTAGCAAAAACTCGTATTGGTATTGGCCAATTTTCACGAGATTAATTGATATGGCAATAGTAAATTCATGGCTTCTTTACAAACGAGTCAATAAATCGAATATCAGTTTATTAGAATTTCGTCGATCTGTAGCAGTTT